ATAGAGACATCTGGTCCAGATTATATTCCACAAACCTTCCTCTCATTTCCAACAGTCTGTTACGAATACACCCCAAAATGAACTGAACAGTATCTGTTCATGAAGCAGATTACTTCTGACTTTAATAGCTTGGTTCGTGGAATACTAAACTAAAGCCATTGCATGAGGAGGAAGGTTATTGCGTTTAAATGTGATCAAATTGTGAACATAATGGAAGGTAATAGGCCCTTGCAAGCCTGTTTCATATTTTAAGACAAAAACCTTTCCGCCTCAGATCCTTCACTTTGAACTAATTTTACTTGGAAAGAAACACTTGCCCCATTGTTATTCATTTGATAGTTATGAGGAAAGTGTCAGATAACCCTTATTGATAACATAATAACAATATTCGATATCATCTAACAGCAACCGGGCCTCTAAACTATTTAGTATTTATTGATATCATACATTAGCATTGTTCCTATTAAAGGAAACACTTGTCAGTATTATTGTGATTGGAGTTTTGGTTTCAGAGAGGTAAATATTTATGTCTTTATTGTGTATTAAGGGGCCTGGTTAAAAGCTGGGATACATTTGTGCAGGAAGGTCTGTATCACAAGTTCGAAATCCGTGTCCTGTTATCTTACCCGTTGGTATTGATATTCACTCAGATAAGACAGAAACGACATTTTCCTTGTTCCGCGTACCGGTATGTGGTTTATGCACAATGCACTGGAATTCCATCACATGTCATGTTGAAGTAAATATTCAAATGCAGGATATAATATCATAAAAAGGGTCATAGGTGGTTCAGTAGTAGTAGTGTTGAAAACGTGTGCGACCTGCTTTACTTGTAACTCTAAGCTGACACGTCGATGTATAATTGGGGTTTCTAAGGCAGGGTGAAGGACGCGGTGCTGACACATAGCATCATATAATAGAACGAGTATAGGATTCGAACCCATATAGGCACAGTTCAATTATATCGACATGCGGTATAGAAGGTGTAAACAGTTAAATACAATATCAGGGAAACTATTCAAGTAGTTCTGATATCAATAATAAATGCTACATAGAAAATAAAAACTTCTTACACAATTAAAAGATTTGTTGTAAAATAGTATAAACATACCAGTGCATTCAAGCATTCTTACATATTTATGTATGATTACTTAAATTACTTAATTATCTTAATGATGTTCCTTCATCAGATTACATTTTACATGCTTGCTGTGAAAAGGCGACTATGGTTGTCGTAAGAGGGGACTAACAGGATTGGCTGGTCAGGCTCACTGACTTGGTTACATGGATCGATGCTCATGATGTCAATCACTCGATTATGTACAAACCGCCGTCATATAGCTGGACTATTGCTGAATGCGGTGTTAAAGAACAAACCGACCAACCGACATATTACGTCGACATGAAACATGTAATTAAGAACTGGGGATCTGTACTACCAAGACTGTTTAGTTTCATGTTCACGTCAGTATACGACACCGAACTAACCCGTCTGTCGATTGATTCTGACATTATGGGAAGCAATGTCGTAAATAAGCACTGTGTCTTTTCAACTGCTGGAACCCGATATGCTCATTTGGTAACCTTCATATATCACACACATTATGAATCTGACAACGAGTTTGTGATTAGGTACATATTTACTTACGAAGTCGTTGATTTTATATCCGCACTTGGAAAAGTAGAAAATCTAAAAATTGTAATGCAGTATGTCACGAGTAGCACCATATGCTATTCCCAATGGCGCTTATTTTATGTGGCAGGATACACTGCTTACCACGACCGTCTAAAAATATAATTGAAATGTTACTCAAAGCGATCTTACACTCTTACAGATGTGTGGGTTCGATTCCCAGACGGGATTCAGCCAAAACAACTACGAGAATCCGTACTTTATTAAGAAAGTGTTATCCCAAATATAACATTTATCACATAGTTAGATCTTACACTCATCTGACTGAATGAAAAACGTCAACGTCAGAGAATAACCAGTGACATGCTGATAACATTACTCTAGAGTGCGGACATTATCCATGGTTTTTATACTTATTTGTGTCTACTTTTATAGTTTCTAACATTTCGGAGCACACGTGGTCATTTTGTTGAAGGTGTCTCAACTCACTTTTTAGAGTTACGTCCCAGGATCCGTTGGTCGCCTAATGGTCCGAATGACAGATTCGTACCGATTGCGATTTTTAACCAGTCAGCCCAGTAGCAATACACTTGGGTTTCACCAAAATGCATTTGGAATGATCACAACTCAATGAGAATAGTTTACTTTAGCTCGACGGGTGATTTGAAAAAAACTGGGTTCAGGGCCCCTTTCCACAGGGCCCCTTTCCTGACCGTCGCGACTGTGGTATGTTTGTGTTAAGGTGTGGAAGTTATGACAACACAGGTGCTTATCCAGCTGGATAACTGCAGACACCAAATATGAACTGGAAGTTTTTGAAACTTGGCATGTCTTTTTGTACTCATCATACGCACAATATCGACAATGTTGCAAACAAACATGATATTTCCAGAAAACACTGCGAAGTGTTTATTTACCAGTCAAACGAGTGGTGTGAGTTAGCCTGATTGATGGCGTCCATTGAATAGTTCCAAAAGTAACGGAAAACGTTTGTGATCTAGAACCAGCATTTAACAAGTAAGTAAAATCGCGACTGTGACTTGGGATAAAAGTCTCCTCCATTACATGTCCTATGTCAACTTTATGCGCAGACGGCGAATGTGGCGAACTCTGTGCAACGAATGTGAAGGCATCCTGTCACTGAACCACTAAGGTTTCATTTCCAGCTTTGTGTTGTCGATTACGATCCAATAAATATAAATGCGATGCCTACTTGCCAGAACACCTTTGTATACGATTCCCTAACAGTCTAGATACACGTTCCCCAAGGATGAATGTCTCATCTAACAACGGCTGCTGCACATTATTTGGCACTATAATAAATAAATATAATAGTCAAATGTATTGCATTAGGCACGTGTTCTTGAATCTAAGAAACAGTTTGTAAGCCAGCAGAAAGTCGGTATTTCCCGATAGGCGTCCAACACAACCTCATGATAGCGAGGCGAGGAGTCAGGAGTTGCCTCCCTTTCACTCTAGTCTCAAAGGAGTTCCATGAGTTTTCAGTTCCGTGCAGTCAGTATGATACACGCATACATAGGTGTCATTCTCAGCTGCAGTGAAGTGACATCTTCTCAGAGATATGTGTCAGAATACCGTATGAGGTCCATATGATAACAATGCAAAAAGATGAGCTGAGGTTTAATGGGTGTTAACGTCGCGTTAAAAATTAGTGCACTGATATAGCAACGTATGTGTGCGAGCCGGTGTGTGTGTGTTTGCGTGTGTGTGTTTGCGTGTGTGTGTTTGCGTGTGTGTGTGTGTGTGTGTGTGTGTGTGTGTGTGTGTGTGTGTGTGTGTGTGTGTGTGTGTGTGTGTGTGTGTGTGTGTGTGTGTGTGTGTGTGTGTGTGTGTGTGTGTGTGTGTGTGTGTGTGTGTGTTTGCCAGCTCACTGAGATATCATGCAATGGTTTAACATGGATAACCCTCTCGCACACACTATGTGGTACTCCTCATAAACTGATACTTTCACAGTGATAAAATCAAAGAAGTACTGAGGCGTAAATACGGTTTAACGCCGCTTTTAACGGTATTTCAGTTATATTGCGGCGGCGTGTCAGGTTAATGTGGGAGGAAAGCCCGAAGTCATGCAGGTCTCAGACGTGTACCACTTCGGTGAAACCCACGAGCACGGGTATGGTGCTGAGAAACCTAGAAGCATAATCTGGGCGAACCGGGATTCGTGCCAACAATCATAGTTTTCTGTCGTGCCCAAGGGACGCACAGCGAATCGCTGCGTCCTAGACGACTGGACCCTAGACGATTCGTGAAATATCGATTTTTTTGCCACCTTCCTTCATTTATTTTGAGACGCAGTGGCACTGCTCTGAACTTAACTGATATTTTTTCCAAGATTGACGTTAACAATATCATTAAGGTATTTCTCGTCCCACTATAAACAATGCCTTGAACAACAAATATCTATTGTACGTTTCTGAAGTATATTACTGAAATATGCGGGATTTCCAACAATCTGAGACAGCCGAACAAACCCAAAACTATACTAGACAAGTGAATGCCTGATTACAGAAGCCCAGGTTAAATGTCTAGTAATGTCCATATGTAATAACATAACTTTTCTTGGTAAACGCTTTTCACGCATTGACAATAGTTTTAGCAGTGCGGGCAACTGAATTAATAACAGAAATGAGAAACTAAATGTCACATGATGTTTACACTGAGATGCAATGTGAGTACTAAATGTCACATGATGTCAAACTGAGATTCAATGTGACTACTAAATGTCACATGATGTATACACTGAGATACAATGTGACTTCTTAATGTCACATGATGTATACAGTGATATACAATGTAAGTACCTAATGTCACATGATGTCAACACTGAGATTCAATGTGACTACTAAATGTCACATGTATATACACTGAGATGCAATGCGAGTACTAAATGTCACATGATGTCAACACTGAGATACAATGTGAGTATTAAATGTCACATGATGTTTACACTGAGATACAATGTGAGTATTTAATGTCACATGATGTCAACACTGATATACAATACTGATGTGTAGTGTAAAGTACTTTCTATTGCTCTGAACCAAGAGACATAAACACTCTGAGCCAACAGATAGCAACTCTCTGAGCCTAGTGTTAATAACACTTTAAACAACTTGACATAAACACTCTGAACCAATTGACATTTACACTTTGAGGCAATTGACACGGACAATTAGAACCATTTGACATTATCACTATGCGCCAATTGACAATAAACGCTGTGATCCAAATACTAGGACTGACCGACTCGCAGTCAGCATAATGTATATGAGTGTGGTATGGTGTCCCGTGGGCTGAATAAGTGACAAAGACGTGAAATAATATTGAACGTGACGATTTCTTCTCGCCACATATGGTATTCCGTGATGCACAGCTTCGTGTTAAGGACATAATAATGACTGATGCAGGGGTATATGTCTTCACCTGATTAATCACTCGTCTTCAATTGTTACAGTGCATACATAACGTAAGTAACATTTGTCCCATCTTCATTGATTAGAACTGTTCCACAGCAACTACGCTCGCCACAAGACCGCACACAGCAATAATTAAACTTGTGTCAATTGAGTCTGTGCCACATAATCAAGTGATTGATGTTATGAGCAACGATTGCAGTGTTAAGTTATTTTGACACGCTATAAACCGAGCCTAAATTGATCCATTAAGTTGCCACGTACGACAAGCAATCGTTCCACCCAAAAATCCCAAATGGGGAGGATTTACACTTCACGAAGGAGGCATCCGTGATATGGTATAATTCATTTTTCATGGCGTCATGCCGATTTTGTGAGACGTCGTTCTGTTCGTAACTAAGCTGAAGAACATAACATGTCACAAAAATATTAAAAAGCTGTTTTCTGGCTCATCAGTGGGAATGCCCAGGAATACGAAAAAGCTGCAACAATGGCAAAGATCAGTGACCGGCATCGTCGCAGGTTGTGGCACTGAAGTAAAACGAGAACACGACAAACAATATGGTGTTAGTTTCTTTGGTAATATGCAAATAGTACATCAAGTAGTCAATATCAAAAGGTGAAATGTGTTTACTCGTCTTGCTTCGTCCAGGTTATACGCCAGCAGACAACCAATGGGAGACAACTTCCAAGGGCGGTAATTCTGGATGAAACTAGTTCCGTCATTCCAGTGTCATGAAAACACTGATTTTGATTTTCACACAAGTGAAAATAAGGGGTTTTATTTTCATAACAGTGAAATTTTGATAACTTTTGAAGAAAAAAAGAGTTTTATCATTTTCATACAACTGCATATCTCACACTCATGTATATAATGAATGCAACTATTGCAAGATCTTACTTTGTCTTCTGTAATTATTAAATCTCATGTTTTTTGTACGTTTCCATTGCAATGTCTTATTTTTCCTTTCGACTGCATCTATGCAACTATCACAATTTTGTGTTATTTCTGATTGTATTGCATATGAACAACTATTGCAATGTATTGTTTTTCGTCAGTTATTGTTGCATGTCGACAACTATTGCAAATTCTAATTGTGTCTCCTGTTACGGTTTAGTTGATAGAACGTATGCCAGGAACGGTGGTTCCATACCCTGGTATTTGTTTGTATTCTGCCGGGGCATTAAGGAGATGTAACAGGAACTGGCTGGTTCAGAGTCTGAGAGGCTGAGATGTGCACCTTTACCATTAGCGTTAATACTTTCAGAATCATTACAATCTTTGATGCATATACGGCAGACCACATATGTGTGTACCATGTACATGTCCACGATCATGTTCGTCTACCTCATATGACTTTAATAATTGGGACCAGTCTGGCATATATGAAAAACATTTTAATCGTCTGCAGACTGGCGAACCTGTTACAATTACCAGTCAGATCTGACAGTTTGACATTTGAAAGGTGAAATGTTTGACGCCTACACATGCAAAAGCCCGCCATATTACTAAACGCCACTCGTACCCTACATGTACTTAACACTTCACAGATTACCAGCTGACGAGCAACCATTAGACTTGCAGCTCACAGCCATGTCGGACGCTGACATGAGACACCTCCTGCTATTGGTAATATGTTTGGGCCCCCTTGCTGTGTGTAAGTAGAGTTTCTTTTGAACGACGGTTTTATGTTGTATAATGTGTGCATGAATGATTCATCACAAGTGTTTTCTTAATATTCGAGGGGCACGGGTGGCCCAGTCGTCTAAGGCGCCGCGATTCGCTGTGCAGATTTTTGTCCCTTGGGCACGCCATATATCTATGAGTTGCGGATCGAATCCCGTTTCACCTCGATTACTTTTCTAGTTTTTTTTAGCACGTGGGTTTCACCGAAGTGGTAACGTCTGAGACATCACCTCGGGCTTTTCTACCAAATTAAGCTGACACGCCGCGATATAACTGGAATATTGTTAAAACCAGCGATAAAACCCAACTCAATCACTCACTCATTCTAAATACTCGAAATATCATCCTAGTTCCAGAAAATCCGAATTCACTGAAAATCGACTGGACATGCAAATGCTGAACAGAGCTTAAACATGACCACAAATGGCGACACACAAACGCTCGTGGTGCACAGCCACATATTCCGTTTTCCCCTCGCGATAAGCTAACATTATGTACAACGTATGTGAAACAATTTCCACAAGTTGTGCTGCCAGCAAACATGGTGTTGATGCCAGCAGAAATAATGTGAGATTATCACTGGGTTGACTCATGGCGAAAAGGTCACGTGTCCGGTTGTCTAAGTTGTATACTCTGGGTCATGATTTCCATATTATCATGTTACAAGCAATTGCATGGCTTAATGCGTTGATGTAATGATAATCGTATGTCTATTATTATTACAAAGTTTGCTAAGGATCAAGTACACATTATCGTACAATGAAACACTGCGTGAAGAATAAACCATGAAGGTCGCAGCCCCGAGCGGTTTATTCTCCCTGCAGTGTATTATTGTACGATCCACAAGTTGTATATTTTTATATCACTCTTTTTGAGGATGATGATACAATGTACAAGCTTTAAAAATAAGTTATCCTTATTTAAAAAAGATGACTCTCTCAATAGAATCAGACCTCGGTAATGTCGGACAAGTCCATTATATGCATAGGTGGGTCTTTCCCGCATATTCTCACAATCCTCACGTCGATTACCTGTACCTTCTCTCCCAATACCGATTGTCATATCTCCCCCGGTTTTGGATGCGATCGTTCGGCCATCGCTTTTATCTGCATTACCCAGGATCATCTATTGGGATCAACTCAAGAGACACAACCCTCTCAAAAATAACGTCGTCGTCAAGTTACGAGCGAATGTCCGAATCTCCATAAATGACGTCATGATAGAACAATGTTTTATCGTGAAGTAAACCACACTGCGTTGTTCATTGTACGTTTGCGATTTATCGCATAACTATCTTATGTTAGTTAATTCAACTTAGTAATAAGAACATCCTCGTAGACCCACTACACTCACTCATGTTGTTTGGACAGGGTTGGGTCAAATGTATAGGGCACTACATCGCCAGTAGTTGAGCTAAGAACATGCCAGTCATATTATATGATTGTGGCTTTGATTGTGGGCTTCATTCAGTATTATGCTGAAATGCTAATATTACTGTAATGCTGTCCGTCCGTACTTCCGTCCGCTCTACCATCCGTCCGTCCGATTCACCTTTGACACACATTTTCTCAAAAACTATTCAATTCACAGAAATTCAATTTACAGAATGATGTTACCAGTCACAATCTTAAATGAGTTCGAACATTGTCTTAAATTCCTTTTTGTACAGAGCTATAGACCTTTCTCCGTGATTTTCAGGAGTGAGTGAGTTTAACCTCGCTCAAAGCGGGGGATAATCATGACGCTGACCTCTGACCGCTGCCATACCATGGTTATTGTGTCACTCTCATTATCAGTGTTGTACATCCCCATCCACAGATTCATAAACGAGTTGTATTGAGCTAGAATCGAGCTGAAGCTGACTGTTTGTAGGCGGCACCACACTGGACATATTATAGCCCAGTAGCTATGTGTGACAACTGTCTTGACTGCTGTATATGTCAATATATACATGCTTAAAGTGATGCAGCAATCACTTGGGCAGGTGTGTTCCGGAAATGTCCGCCAGCTCCAAAAAGCCGTCCTCAACTCTGTGATTATACAGCTGGGGCACTTTAGACATGGTCAGAACAAAAACATCTGTGTCTACAGTGAATGTATGGTAAGAACACGTTAATTGCGTAGTCATCAAAGGTCTTGATCGGAACATATATCATCATGTGGATGTTCTGGGTCAGGTACAGGATGAGGTGAGAGATGAGGTCAGACTGAGGTCAGGGATGAGGTCAGGGATGTGGTGAGGTCAGACTGAGGTCAGGGATGAGGTCAGGGATGTGGTGAGGTCCTGGATGAGGTGTAGGATGAGGTCCTGGATGAGGTCAGGAATGCGGTGAGGTCCTGGATGAGGTCAGGGATGCGGTGAGGTCCTGGATGAGGTCAGGGATGCGGTGAGGTCCTGGATGAGGTCCTGGATGAGGTCAGGGATGCGGTGAGGTCCTGGATGAGGTACAGGATGAGGTTAGGGATGAGGTCAGGGATGCGGTGAGGTCCTGGATGAGGTACAAGATGAGGTCAGAGATGAGGTCCTGGATGAGGTCCTGGATGTGGTGAGGTCCTGGATTAGGTACAGGATGAGGTCAGGGATGAGGTCAGGGATGTGGTGAGGTCAGGGATGAGGTCAGGATTGCGGTGAGGTCAGGGATGCGGTCAGGGATGAGGTCAGGGATGTGGTGAAGTCCTGGATGAGGTCAGACTGAGGTCAGGGATGAGGTCAGGGATGTGATGAGGTCCTGGATGAGGTACAGGATGAGGTCAGGGATGAGGTGAGGTCAGGGATGCGGTGAGGTCATGGATGAGGTACAGGATGAGTTCAGGGATGTGGTGAAGTCCTGGATGAGGTACAGGATGAGGTCCTGGATGAGGTCAGGGATGTGGTGAGGTCAGGGATGAGGTCAGGGATGCGGTGAGGTCAGGGATGCGGTCAGGGATGAGGTCAGGGATGTGGTGAAGTCCTGGATGAGGTCAGACTGAGGTCAGGGATGAGGTCGGGGATGTGATGAGGTCCTGGATGAGGTACAGGATGAGGTCAGGGATGAGGTGAAGTCAGGGATGTGGTGAGGTCCTGGATGAGGTTCAGGATGAGGTCCTGGATGAGGTCAGGGATGCGGTGAGGTCATGGATGAGGTACAGGATAAGTTCAGGGATGTGGTAAAGTACTGGATGAGGTACAGGATAAGGTCCTTGATGAGGTCAGGGATGCGGTGAGGTCATGGATGAGGTACAGGATGAGTTCAGGGATGTGGTGAAGTCCTGGATGAGGTACAGGATGAGGTCCTGGATGAGGTCAGGGATGTGGTGAGGTCAGGGATGAGGTCAGGGATGCGGTGAGGTCAGGGATGCGGTCAGGGATGAGGTCAGGGATGTGGTGAAGTCCTGGATGAGGTCAGACTGAGGTCAGGGATGAAGTCAGGGATGAGGTCGGGGATGTGATGAGGTCCTGGATGAGGTACAGGATGAGGTAAGGGATGCGGTGAGGTCAGGGATGTGGTGAGGTCCTGGATGAGGTACAGGATGAGGTCCTGGATGAGGTCAGGGATGCGGTGAGGTACTGGATGAGGTACAGGATGAGTTCAGGGATGTGGTGAAGTCCTGGATGAGGTACAGGATGAGGTCCTGGATGAGGTCAGGGATGCAGTGAGGTCAGGGATGCATCCAGAGTTCATGACCGGGTTGAGATCTGAGATGGTTCTGGATGTGGCCAGGAATGAGCACCGGGCGTGAGGTCACTCATCCTGAGTTTAGAAAACAGACACATCACTTTCATTGCTTGATATTCATGTGACTTTTTCAGGTGCCCAAGAACTCGTTATTGGTCCACCAATGGATGAATTAATGGCGTACCACGTTTCGTTTCCAATGCAATGCGAAGTTCCTGGACTGCCAGACGGTATTGATGCCAAGTTAGAATGGCTGGACAGGAACAACAATGTTATTGGACGCGACTGGGACAAACGGTACAGAATATTCTGTTGTTTGGGTTTTTTTTTAATCTGATGGTTAAGTCGAACTAATCAGTAGTTCATCTACATGACTGGGACCTATAAATAACCGAGTCGGGACCAAAATGAATATAGCACGGGTACCCACTTGAGTAAGAATGATATGTTTACCACTTTGCAGGAATGTGGCTCCAATGTTTCCGAATCTTCATTATCTTTTCCTTTGCTTGTAGCATCCACACATCCTATTCAGGGCGAAGCTTAATATTATTCTTCAAAAATTGGAGAGATGAAGACGCAGGCACATATACGTGTAGAGGAAAGGTCTGGGATACGACTATGAATAAATCAAGACAGCTCTATTTCAATGGTAAGAGACTCGCACATGAAATAACTTTTGTCCTTATAGGTTAATATCTTTAAACCTCACTCACTCACTCACTCACTCACTCACTCACTCACTCACTCACTCACTCACTCAGGATATATTGCTTTCTATCATATGGTATTACTATGATATAGCTTTGCCAGCTACCTCCAACTGATGTACCCGCCTGAACTTGACATTGAAGAGACCAGTGAAACACCCCCGTCTGTTTCATATTGATAACTATGCATACATATTCACAAGACTGTATGACAAGAGCGATGACTTCACTTTCCCAGCAGACAACTTTCCCTCCATGTCGAGCCGTATTCCAGCAGCCATAACCTATGACGTGTACATTGCACAACGTTTGAGGACAATCGTCCATGCTCTTTCCACACAGGTTTCAAAGTAATACGACTGTTTCAAAAGCTGTTGTTTTTACTTGTACCATATGTTCCCGCGTTTTTTGGTGTTTTTTTCTGGGGAACAATTGCCTTGCCTTTGTATGTGTTCTTGACGGGTGCAGGATACACCCACCTTTTCGCTTAACCCTGCTATTGTCACTATTTGATTCTTAAACACATGCTCATGATAAAGTCGGAATCTTGCAATGAACTTTTTCTCGCTTTTATTTAAAACTATGGTATGTATATCATATCGTTCTAATCCCTTGTCATAATCGTTGCTTTATTCCCTATGTTATTACCAAACTACTGTATTCCAACCTGTTATTATTATTTTCATCATCATCATCATCATCATCATCATCATTATATTTATATTTATTATTATTATTATCATTATTATTATTAGTAGTATTACCTACACCATAACTGTGAAATGCCTGTCTTTTCTACAACAGAAACATCAATGACTTTTCCTTGTTGAAGCCGTGGTTGTTGTTGGTTTTTTTTATCTCCAGCGAATAGAACTCTATCACGCTCATACAAAGTTGCCAGAGTACGTCATGATTGAAATCTATTTCAGAAACCCCAGATATTGTCATCTCCACATCTGGAGATATAACGCGAGTCCAAGACACAGGTGAACAGATCCTCACTTGTGAGGCGCTGGGACTCTCAGACGATCAAGTTGCCAACTTAGAATGGCTTGACAACAACAACAAATCCATTGGACCTTTCAGTGAAAATGACCCCAAAAGCAGCAGGTGATTATTGTAGTCGACTGATTCACAATCATAGCCCCTTTTTATAACTAACTTATTTCACAAGCCTTTGCTGGTATGTAACCACTACATATATAAGTTACATCACAAGTATTTGTAAAATTGTAACGTTTGTAAAACATGCCTTACATTGCAATTATTTACCCAAGTATTACTCCCTTACAGTACTGTCATATGCTGGTACGTAATTTAAGTATGATTTACGTCCATCAATCATTTTGTCGAACATACGTTATTAATACTAGCATTGTTTTATTGTATAACGTGCCAATCATGTTCCAGTCCACAAATCAAAGATATGCATCCGTCATTTTTTGAGCTTGATATTCAGAATGCATTTCGTGTTTTGTTTGTTTTTGTTTTGCACCGCACTCAGCAGTATTGCAGATATGTGATGACGGTCTGTAAAAGGCTGATCCAGACAATACATTTACAGTCATCATGAGCATTGAGGCATACATTTGGGGTACGATGACATACCATCAAGTCAGCATGCCTGACCTTCCGATCCATTTAGTCGCCTCTTTAGACAAGCGCAGGTCGCTGGGGATTCATATTCTTTCTCGGATCCTTGCTGTTTTACAATTCGTTTCTTTTTCATCTCAGGAAATAGATGACACAAATAACAAATACATAAAAGATCAAAAGCTAATATGAAGGTCGAAATGAAATAACAATCAGATCATTTTAACTTACCATCCGTTTTGATCAATTATTAAGCAGCTCGACTGTTGATACGAACAGTCAGCGAGACCCGGCGGCCAGAGAAGTGGTTTACGCCGTACCACATCCCGGTATATGTATATGTACCTATATTCACAAATAAACTTCTTCTTCCTATTCAGCTTGACGTCTGACGTCTATGAAAGAGAGTGCTTCGATTATTTCGCATAACTTTGTATTTTACAGTGCGAAATAAAGTTATGTGTTTTCGAATGTTATTGACTTTTCTGGCACGACTTTGGTAAATGATCGATCACTCGGGTTTTCAAGTCACAATAATCACTGACGCAGCTGATGTGATGGACGCATCACTTAATGATTATATTTGAAGAACATTATTAATCAGTTTTAGAGATCGTGCTTTAGCGCTACATTATCCTCGCTGTGACGTCACATCTACTGAGCTGCAACGAACATTGAGATGCCACAATAAGCCACAATGCCACAATAGCTGTGTACGTATAAAACTAAACATTGCAAGGTTCGAAGATGAATGGGATCGTACACCACGATACAAAAGATCCAGGGATGTTCACGCACGTTCATCACTTAAAGTGCCGAACGGGGCGGTCGGGAAGCTTAGTGGTTAAAGCGTTCGCTCGTCACGCCGAAGACCCGGGTTCGATTCCCGACATGGGTACAATGTGCCAAGCCCATTTCTGGTGTCCCCTGCCGTGATAGTGCTGGAATATTGCTAAAAGCGGCGTAAAACCATACTCACTCACTCACTAAAGTGCCGAACACCCCGCGAGTGAAACCTGAAACGAGTTTTCCTTCACATGTTCCCATGCAAGTTGCAGACACGTATTGGGTTTAAAATTATATATACGGGTATCAGATACCTACAAATCACGTTATGATCTTCTGCGTGAATATATTCTACGAGTCTCCTTTTGACACCTTGCAGGGTCTACACAAGGAAACTTGGTCGACGACGCCAGCTGAAGTTTAATCAAGTGAAGCTTGAAGACCACGGAACATATACATGCAGAGGAAAAGTTGGTGGTGACACAATACTTAAGTCTTTTCATCTCAATGTTTATGGTGAGTGTCTAACTGACTTGTCAGATGTCGACCGCTTTCAAACCCTCGAGGACTTTTATGAATGTATTCCCTGGAGTATGTTTGTAGAATTGGAGCTTCAATTCAGGTTTCTGGGATTACCACTTATGTTAACATATACCATTATACACTACTTATAAAGAGGAATTTATACACTACTGCCAGTTACACCATTATACACCACTAGTACATACAGCATTGTACACTACTGGTAGATACAACATTATACACTACTAGTACATACAACATTATACACTACTAGTACATACAACCTTGTACACTACTGGTACATACAACATTATACACTACTAGTACATACAGCATTATACACTACTGGTAGATACAACATTATACACTACTAGTACATACAACATTATACACTACTAGTACATACAACATTATACACTACTAGTACATACAACCTTGTACACTACTGGTACATACAACATTATACACCACTGGTGCATACAACATTATACACTACTAGTACATACAACATTATACACCACTAGTACATACAACATTATACACCACTGGTACCTACACCATTATACACTACTAGCACATACAGCATTATACACTACTGTTACATACACCATTGTACACTACTGGTACATACAACATTAAATACTACTGATACATACACCATTATACACTACTGGTAAATACAACATTAAACACTACTGATACATACACCAGTATACACTTCTGATATATACACCATTATACACTACTGATACAAACGACGTTATACACTACTGGTACATACAGATTTTTAGACTACTGTTACATGCAATATTATACCCTCTTGTCATATGCAAGGACATTTTTCTGGTTTTTAAGATCACATTCTGGACTTTATTGAGAAAGATTCTAGTTTAAATTTTCAACAAGGTTTGAAGAGTGGTCTCCCTTTGACATCAGCAATGACCGTCAAATGCTTTGCTAGTAGTACCGATGAGGAAATCTCTGATGTAAGGCAAAATGTTCTATATAGATATCAGAAAATGTAAAGCATAATAAATTCGATATTTGACGCCTCGTACAGTATTTCCGCTAACCTAATATGACACCGCATCAGGCAACTAAAGACACCATAACTATAATACACTGCGAGGGAACAGTCCGAGAACCGAAGCTGACCACTAGCCCCGGTGGCTCAGTGGGTAACAGTGGATTACAAAACTAAACATGATCTGTGAGGTTGCAGGTTCGATTATGAAATATGTGATTTGTAACTAGTCCAATACCAACGTTAGATGCACAATACTAGGCTGTAAATATAAATCCAAGAGTTATAGATCCAAGCAGGTCTTTCAATTAAAATGTAAACCTCTCAACAGGTCTCCCTTGAAAGTAGTACTTCACAAAAGGTTACTTTGAGATGCATACAATACTATAGGCATGGCAGTAAAATTATAAACACCCTTATGCACTATGGTACATATATGATTAATAAGCACTATTTTATACCTACAAGATTATTTTTTTCCGCCATGTTGAAATCGTAATGTTTGTTCACCATTGTTTTCCTATTTGTCAATCTACCAATCCATACACCCATTTTAGTTGGTCTGGTATCAATCGTGTTTGGTGTAAGTATTCTTCCTATTGTTTCAGGGGTTGTCATACTTCCACAACAGACCGTTATAAGGCGGGAAAGGGACACAGGTCTAGCGTTGTATTGCCAAGTCACCGAACCGTCAGGCGGCAGAGATGTAACTGTAGACTGGCTGTACCCAAACGGCTATTCCATATCACGTTATGACCCAGATTATCCTCCAGCCAACAGGTGGAACATTTTATCTCATCCTTTCCGTCAACATATTTTCTTTTCACGCCCACCTTCTCCAAAATATGAAAATGTCTACCTCTTAATGATTCCAGTATTATTGTTTTTCAGGAGGCCTTCAAATTCACAATATCTCTATTCTATTTCTTAATTCTGACATTTCCATTTGTCTCAAATAAGTACCGACTACATATGGCTATTTAGGTTATTTAAGACCATAATTACAGGCGAGGAATTATCAAGTATGCGTCTGGGAGTGACTGATGGAACCTTCCGCAGGTTCAGTGGGTTGTCCAGTATATTTCCCTTTGTTATATTGTTAAAGAAAATGGAGAAGAATCATATGACATGTCATTTCAATCGTCGGTTGTTACGTCAAACAAGGGATCACATTATCAAAGCGTAAATCTGAAAGATCTCTTTTCCCGTGTCAGCGGGCATCTTATTATTAGCTATTTGAAAGAAATTGGTCTGTATAATAAATTTTAAATATGTATGTGAATAATTAAATGTTTGCTTTTTAACTTGGCGTGATGCTATTATCTACTGACTTTATTGAAGGCTGTGTCCAGGGGGTTAAAGTATCGTAAAATTATTGTCCCCCTGTGTGACACGTGATCCTAGCATAAACGATGTAACAATCATCAACCAGTGTTTTTAAGTCAACTCATTGCTGAGTACTTTTTATATGGGCTAGTATTGTTCACAACCGTCAGTAGCTAAAGTGATGACGTAAATCCTGTTGGGATATCATGCAGGAAGCAGGGGTACTGTAAGTCCCAATGATCCCCTGTGAGGTGGCCTAGCCTTGGTTACTGGTGGCCTATAGCCCGAGTTTTAAAACTGTATATATGTAATATTCTTTATACACAAATCAATGTAAACTAGCTTCCTAATAGAAATCCAAAGATAGAAAATAATGGTTGATCTAAATATATCCTTTCCACACTTTGCACAATGTATGAATACTCAATCTTCAGGGATACACGTGACTGATGACGTCACAATATTAGTAAAAAGTATATCGTATAAAAATAATAGTTCTATTTATGCATACATACTGATATCAGGGCTCAGCTGGTCATGTGTAAGACGTACAATGCGATGCTCCCCTAAGACAGACCAGAATCCTATGAATCATATCCTAGAATTACCCAGGTTGTGATTGTTTGTTCGTCAACACTATAATACTATGTTCGTGCTCGTGGCTTTCTTAACGTCTAGTACGTGCATCACTTCGGACTTTCCTCCCACATCAAACGGACACGCTGTTTAACAACCGAAGTGCTGGTAAAAGCGGCGCTAAACCGCAGTTACACATTAAACCTCAACATTGTGCATACGTGTGAGGGAGACAGTCGAGAAGGATTTCTTCATTGAAGGGTCTGGCAGCCAATTATAAACCAAAATCAACATGCATGACATATATACACCAAATAGGGTAATAAGTTTTAGGTTGATGAATATATACATTCAGAGTGGTCATGAAGCTTGTATCAGATGGTTCAAATGACGGACAACTTCCCTTTTTTTCATTTATAAACTGTGATATGATCAAGGGCATATGCAAGTCTTAAATAGGCGCAAGGGGCACTTCCTCGAAGACTATTATTAACATAATGGCCATGTCTGAGACTCACCTGGATTGACTTGGGACGGAAATACTAGGTTTCGTTATACTTGTGAACGGTGTTTCCTGCTTAAAGTTCAAGGAGTGTGCATAAACATTTTGCTCTTGGAATATGCAATTGTCTATCCACATCGTCATTTTATGGAGCGGAAAATATAAGATCAATAGTACAAACTTTGGTACTGGTATCAAAAATATAATTTAACATCCATAAAACGTATTGTGAATATCATGCAATATTCTCGCTTATAAAATGTGTCCAAGAAGGTGATTATCAACTATGTGGAACTATTCATTTATTCTCTTAATATCTGTCTCTGTCTCTGTCTCTCTCTCACGCTTTCTCTCGGTAGCTCTCTCTCTCAATCTCTCTCTCTCTATCACTCTCTCTCTCTCACGCTTTCTCTCGGTAGCTCTCTCTCTTACTCACTCTCTCTCGAATTCAGTCATGTCTGTCTGCCTGGCCCTCTTTCGCCGATCAACATGAACAGTACATCCTCATCACTAACTCTTAATTTCAACCCACATTTAACTGACGTGATATACTCGAAATGGCGTGAGAACGAATTCCGTCACCAACTTTCTTTCTTTGCCTGCAGATACTTCACACAGAAGACATTCTTGGGCAGCACACTGTTCTTTGACGAACTGAGAAAAGGAGACAAGAGTACATATACATGTCGTGCCATAATAGACGGAAATACCGTCCGCAGAGAAATACAACTCAAATTGTACGGTAAGTGTTTTAGGAAGACTCTCTTATTTCGTGATTTACAGTCGAATGTGGTTATCTCATAGTTGTAGCTTGACAGACAATGGAGAATATTTGATGGAATGAACACATTTCATTTCTGACCTGGTTGATTCTCTGACCACTGGTCAGTAGTGTGTACCATCTAGTAGTGTAGTAGTATTTGACCACTTTCGTGAAACTCACGAGAACGTGTATGGTGCTGACAAACCTGGAAACATTATCAGGGTGAATTTGGATTCGAACCCATCTTCTTAGATTTCTAATACGCCTAAGTGAGTGAGTGAGTTTGGTTTTACGCCGCTTTTAGCAATATTCCAGCAATATCACGGCGGGGGACACCACAAATGGGCTTCACACATTGTACCCATGTCGGGATTCGAACCCGGGTCTTCGGCGTGACGGGCGAACGCTTTAACCACTAGGCTACCCGACCGCTCCTAATACGCCTAAGAGACACAACTCTTGACTTAAGTAAGACGAGTTCTATGGATAAACAACTTCTTTATTACAATTAGTGCGACGTTTCGGTGTAGATCCTAACACCTTTATCAAGCATGTGATGGATAGTGCTAAACAACATAGGTATATATACTTATTAACATAAAAGTGTATACAGTAAATTGATTGATGGACGAAGAGAGCTGATTGAGACAATTCGAAGCCAGTGGATGACTAATCAACACAGAGTCAACAAGCAGAATGATAGAGATGATGGAAGCTGTTGTTGACTATGTGTGATATTGCCAACTAAGACATGCCAATCCGTTCTCAATTTCAGTTTCGCTGTTTGTTTTGTCTGACTTAACTTGTGTGCTGCTTTATTTCAGTTCCCCCTAAAATCGTTATTACTCCATCAGAAGATAGGATAAGGCGACAGAAGGACACTTCAGCATCTATGTATTGCAAAGTCGATGGACTTTCAGGCGACGAACTGCAAGATGCCAAGTTCGAATGGCTGGACAAAAATGACGATATCATTGGATCTTACATCAGAAACGATTCAAAACGCAACAGGTACGGCTTTCATGACGGTTATGAAGGGAAGGCCACGCCAGTCCTGAACATTTACCATACACTATCAATAAGAACACTTACACTGTGTATGATTAAATCTCTTTGCTCCATCCTCTGTGTGCAGGGTCTACACGTTAAAACTTCCCGATGCAACCCGCCTTCAGCTTGACCAGTTGACCAGTGGCGAGCGAGGGACATACACCTGTAGGTGTACAGTCGGGGGCAACATCATGATCAAAGACATTCAACTTATTATCTACGGTAAATGTTAAAGCGACAAATGAGTTGGTTGTGATTAACGCCGCTTTGAACATTGTTTCCGTTACATTATGGCATGTCAATTGAGAAGTCGTAAATCCAATAGTATAACTAGACTTACTATGAACGTAACGCTAAGACTGCTTCGTGAACCGGAGTCCTGAACACTCTAAGTACATCTGTGTAGTATGTGGCTGATTCTGTGCAGACAGTGTGGGCCAAAGGCAATTCGGTGATTTACGCTGTACAACACGTTGTGTCATATTCCTCATCCGATTTTGATATTGACCACATTGCCACATACAGCAATCTCATTATTAAGCTCTGTCTGTCTGTCTGTGTGTCTGTGTGTATGTGCGTGCGTGTGTTGTGGTTGGTTGGGGAGTCAGTGTTAGGGGCATCAAGTTTCATTCGTGGTGCACAAAGGATAATGGATGAAAAAGCGTCAGAATTTTGTTACTGGATTTTTGAATGATGGATGCAAATTTATTTTATGTGACCTCTGAGAACAGTCAGGTGTGTTGTTGAGCTGAGGTTTTAGATGTTGTGAGTTTTTTCTCGTTACTTGTGTTCAATACAGGTAAGCCAGATACACCAACGAATCTGCAAGCCGCCACCTTGGACTCGCGTTCCATTACCATCACATGGGACAAAGGCTTCAACGGCTCCTATAAACAACGTTTCAACATAGAATACAGACAACCTGGCGGTCAATGGATCACCCATCCATCCATGCCCAGGGAGGACCACGCCCTTCAACTGAAGCTGGATGGTCTAAAACCGGCAACAATGTACGACATTCGGCTAAATGCTGTGAATGAATATGGTTCCAGTAACTACACGTTCGTCAATGTGACAACTTTGACAATGTGACAACTTTGACGCCTTATAACATCGCCATCAGCACCACACATTAATCTTACATTCTGATGTTGCACCAACCCCTGCTGTCAGAACTTCACATACTATATTCATAGTAGTAACCTTGTTATTGTTGCTGCAGCTGTGAGTTAGTCTTGTGATTAAAATGTTACCTCATCACGAACAAGAGCAGATTTCGTGTCCCGGAAATGTGTTAAGCTAGGTTTTGACGTCCTCAGCCTTGCCAGTTTTGGAATAATATATGAAGCGGCGTTACACTCACTCACTCACTAATTTCCCACATACGTATTAGTAATAAAGTCATATGCACTTTGGTATACATATTCCTGTCTTCATTATAACTATTCCATAAGTAGCCAGCTGGCAGTAGGTACCATGTATATTGTTTGCTTCAATGTATTTGTCGCAAAATGTATCTTTCTCAAGTAAGCTGTTTACTTAAGTACCAGCAGTATTCTGAAACACAAATTGAAAGATTGGGGCACAGGCAGCCGAGTCGTCTAAGGCCCGGCAATTCAACATGCAGAGTTTGGATCCATGGGCACGCCAGTAACCCATGATTGGGGATTTGTATCCAGGTTCGCCCCGATTATGTAGCTAGGTTTGTCAGCACCGTATCCGTGGTCGTAGTCCTCATCCCAGACCTGCATCACTTTTGAGTTTCTTCCCACATAAAGCTGACAAGCAGTGATACAACTGGAATACTGTTCAAAGTTGTGGTAAACTAAACACACTCACTCTTTGTACGGATATTTGGGGAGCGTTTGAACCCAATACAAAAGAGTGGACGAGTCTTCAATTCTAAAGTTGATGGTAATGAGGCGAGGTTTTGGCAGACTTTTCCTCAGTTATCATACAAGCTTTACATGTTTGATATGCCACTTATATCAAGTTCTTTGATCAAACAAGTATGAGCCGTGTGCTGCCATGTTCTGTAGGCCCTGCACTGAAATGTTCTGTAGGCTGTATGTTGACATGTTCTGTAGGCCGTATGTTGACATGGTATGTAGGCCGTATGTTGACATGTTCTGTAGGCCGTATGTTGACATGGTATGTAGGCTGTATGTTGACATGTTATGTAGGCCGTATGTTGACATGGTCTGTAGGCCGTATGTTGACATGGTATGTAGGCCCTATACTGAAACGTTCTGTTGGCTGTATGTTGACATGGTCTGTAGGCCGTATGTTGACATGGTATGTAGGCTGTATGTTGACATGTTCTGTAGGCCGTATGTTGACATGGTATGTAGGCCCTATACTGAAACGTTCTGTTGGCTGTATGTTGACATGGTCTGTAGGCCGTATGTTGACATGGTCTGTAGGCCGTATGTTGACATCGTCTGTAGGCCGTATGTTGACATGGTCTGTAGGCCGTATGTTGACATCGTCTGTAGGCCGTATGTTGACATGGTCTGTAGGCCCTATACTGAAACGTTCTGTTGGCTGTATGTTGACATGGTCTGTAGGCCGTATGTTGACATGGTCTGTAGGCCGTATGTTGACATGGTATGTAGGCCCTACACTGAAATGTTCTGTAGGCTGTATGTTGACATGTTCTGTAGGCCGTATGTTGACATGGTGTGTAGGCCGTATGTTGACATGTTCTGTAGGCCCTGCACTGAAATGTTCTGTAGGCTGTATGTTGACATGTTCTGTAGGCCGTATGTTGACATGGTATGTAGGCTGTATGTTGACATGGTCTGTAGGCCGTATGTTGACATGGTCTGTAGGCCGTATGTTGACATGGTATGTAGGCCATACACTGAAATGTTCTGTAGGCTGTATGTTGACATGTTCTGTAGGCCGTATGTTGACATGGTGTGTAGGCCGTATGTTGACATGGTATGTAGGCCCTATACTGAAATGTTCTGTAGGCTCTATGTTGACATGTTCTGTAGGCCGTATGTTGATATGGTCTGTAGGCCGTATGTTGACATGGTATGTAGGCCCTATACTGAAATGTTCTGTAGGCTGTATGTTGACATGTTCTGTAGGCCGTATGTTGACATGGTCTGTGGGCCCTATACGGAAACGTTCTGTTGGCTGTATGTTGACATGGTCTGTAGGCCGTATGTTGACATGGTCTGTAGGCCGTATGTTGACATGGTATGAAGGTCCTATACTGAAACGTTCTGTTGGCCGTATGTTGACATGGTATGTAGGCCGTATGTTGACATGTTCTGTAGGCCATACACTGAAATGTTCTGTAGGCCGTATGTTGACATGGTCTGTAGGCCATACACTGAAATGTTCTGTAGGCCGTATGTTGACATGGTCTGTAGGCCATACACTGAAATGTTCTGTAGGCCGTATGTTGACATGGTCTGTAGGCCCTATACTGAAATGTTCTGTAGGCCGTATGTTGACATGTTCTGTTGGCCGTATGTTGACATGTTCTGTTGGCCGTATGTTGACATGGTCTGTAGGCCCTATGCTGAAATGTTCTGTTGGCCGTATGTTGACATGGTCTGAAGGCCCTACACTGAAATGTTCTGTAGGCCGTATGTTGACATGTCCTGTTCAGATCCACCTGATGTGATGGTCATGCTGTTCCGCGTTAGAATGTTAGCCCCTGATTTATCATCAATGCAGTATTCGGGCGGTGGGGTAGACTAGTGGTTGCAGCGTTCGCTCGTCACGCAGAAGACCCTGGTTCGATTCCCGACATGGGAATAATGTGTGAAGCACATTTCTGGTGTCCCCCGCGTGATATTGCTAGAATATTGCTAAAAGTGGAGTAAGATCATGAGTTGTTTCTACATGTTGCCGTTTATACAGCAGATATGTTGACAAATCTCTCCGTATTATACAATACTGAAACTATTATCTACTACCCCTAAGACAGCTGGTCCCCGTTCGACAAACCGACCTCAGCGCTGAGATGATCGTAATTCCTATACTTTAACATATGCTTATGATAGTGGTAGTGCCGAGATCGCTTTGTGGTCCTTTATTGTAATTTTGCTACTCTTCCTTAATACTGCTTCACAGTTGCTACAACTACTACAACGAATTCCCCCACGTCATCTTTAGCAGTTACTAGGTTCACAGTTTTGTTTTGTTTTGAGGACAAGTGTGTTGCTAACCAGGGCTGTATCTATGTATCCAAACTGTAAGTGATACACTCGACAAGAAATACAGTACATCGGTCGTTTGTTGTCTTTGTCTATTTAGCGTGGCGTGAAATGGATATCTTGTTTACTCCCATCACATTCAGGATATCACTGAGGAACATAAATTTTTTACATATCCATGGTGGTCAAGCTTAGGAACACATTTGTAGATTTTTTTCATATGTTTGCAGAAGACAATTGATCAGCAGGTGAGTTGTAGGTACAGGTTGTGAATTGATAAAAATAACCATAAGTTTGGGGATAGTTTTCTGAATACGATGCTAATGTACATGATAAAAACACGATCTCAGTATGTTTTTAGCAAGGATGTAAATGTTATTGATAATATGATGCAACTGTTGTATTAATGTGAAGTCCTGCTGGTTGTAGACACGCCATAACAACGGTTGTGGTGTTTGATTAAGAAACAAACGAGAGGTATATGTTTATCGTTCAATATAAACAAGGATATGCTTTAAGAATGTTTACCCGTATTTAAATAATGATGACTCCCAAAATACAATCCGATCAAAAATACAAGTCCTTTTCATGTTGGGTTAAGTTGGTGTTTCCTGGATATTCTCAACACAAAAAACAATTGACAGCCATTATCTGTACCTTTTCTCCCAGTACAGAATGTCGAAGCTCGCCCACGTTTGGGTGCGATCGTTCGGCCATTGCGTTTATCTCAACTAGCCTTTCAAAAATAGCGTCGTTCAATTTACGACGTCATCACGTTCCTGGCGTTTGTTCGAAACTCCAGAAATGACGTCATGATATAACAGTGTTTTATCGTTCTTCATTATTCTTTGTGATCTATCGTGTAGCTTTCTTATATTTCTTATGTTTTGAATTCGGTGCTGGAAAGTACCTGAGGGATGTAACGACAGATCAAAATACCGTGATGGATTAACCGATATGTTTCATCGATATCTGGAATATCAACTGCTAACATCGATACAAACTTATCGTAAGAACTTATACCAAGAGCAGCCTATGCCTGTTGTAAGAGGCGACTAAATGGGTCGGGTAGTCAGGCTTGGTGACTTGGGTGATATCAATGATGTCAATCACTGGCTTGTTTGAATCAGACGCGATTATTTACATGCCGCCTTTATATAACTGTAACATGAACCAGTGCGGCGTTTAACAACAAACACACGTATGTATTGGCACATTTTGAATCATTTAATTACTTGGCTTTCCAGACAACACTATGAGGCTCGCGAGCTGGCTGCACGTGATTGGTCTGTTATCCCTTTGTGATCTCACACACGGAGGTCGTGTACACACGTTGAGACTTACACACAAGGGTGCTAGAGACATGTCCATGTCTATCATGGACCCAAGGCTACAATGTGGTCGATCGTGTGTGAAGTTATCACACTGTCAAGGGATCCTGTACGATGGCCACGTCTGTCGACCGATACTCAAACACAAAGACGTCAGAGAAGACAAAGATTCTGAATATTGGACAGTCATGAACAAAGGTATTAATACTACCTTCATAGTTTATAATGTGCAATGAAAAACACTATTTTCTGACTCTGTTTTGACCTTGTCCGAAGTTTAAAGCTGAAGTGAAATCAGATAATCTCGTTTACAAAGTGTTCTACCATGAATTCTGAAACAAAGTGCTTCTGTTAGGTCAATCAGATGATTCAAATTACAGTAACTGACTTTGAATGCTATCATATTATGTTGACAGTTAAAACACGTAACGCTATTTGTGACTGTAGCTGCCCGTGCACTCCTTATAGTGGGACATTTAAAGCACGTAGCGCTATTTGTAACTGTAACATTGTTCTACCAGCTGCCTGTGCACCCCTTATAGTGAGACAGCCAAGATGTAATGGTCACATCACACAATTGTAACCCATAAACACATGTTTTATTGCAGAGGAAAAAGAGTTCAAGGGAAAGCGTGTACAGATACGCAGTTGTGAGTTCTGTTTTAGAATCAGGAAATATGCATAGTTAATGTAGTGATTGAGACTAATGTTTAAACACGTTTAAATATGATCCCATAACTGTCATTAAAAAGCGAAACGTTTGTGAAATGTTTAACACTTGCAACGTTTGTCATTTGGTGATGGGTAAGATAGCTGCTCAGTGTTTCTGGTAGAATATTATCTTCCCTGTTTCCTTTCAGTTACACGAACTATGAGGATAAGGAGAGTGCACCTTCCAAACATCAAAATTGGTGAGGCTTTGAAAAAATGTCACTGCGATTTATTATTCATGTTTATTAAATGGTAAATTCAATATTGCTGCAGATTAATATACACTTAATAATTTTATAACGCATATTATAAGGCAGTCATCAATTGCATCCGTCAGAAGACGTGTATTTAAGGGATTTTGTAAACTGAAGATGTGTGTATGTATTTATGTTTTGAGGTCCAGAATAATGTCAAAATTACATTGACGCACATACATGATACTCATATCCGCTCATTTGAACACTTGAGAATAAACATCCCTATCGTACATTTATACTGGGACACAATCATTCATATTCATACATGATCCAAGTGGGTGTTGCTGAATGAGACGGGGAAATGGCAAATGTTCTCAAATATCGGAAATGAGGTCAGGAGATGCCTTTGACCCTGTATTTCTGCTGTGAGTCTGCACTTGAAGAATCGTGTTTTTATTCCAGATCGAGGAAGGAAGTAGCAGCATTTACCCTGGTCACAGTATCAACACTTTCACGTCATCATAGTTCGACATTATTCTGAAGCAGGCTCTCTTAAGGTTATCCCTGTCTGACACTGCGTGTAGTTAGTAGATTGGAGTAGTGACACTGTTGAAGTTGTCACTCTAAATAAAAACAAAATCGTGTATTTCCCGAGCCTGAGCGACGGTTATACATGAATTCTTGTATGACTTTCCTCAAATGAGTATGACACACATGCTAGTGTAATACTTTCTTCATAACCTGCTATTTCTGAATCCGTTGGAGCTTCGCTTCAGAGGAAATGCAATGATCACGACCGCCGTCACCAGCGTCACAGACTCTGATAATACACTGATACGCGTGAAGTAATTGTGTTCATGTTTTTTTGAAAATGTTCAGTCTGATAAATTCAGCTAAATCTACTTTATTTTGGTTTTCAATTTCAGCAAATTCTGAAGTTTGAAAGTACAGTAGCTATCACGTACGACAAACTGTAAACCTTGAAATAAAGTCACTAGCTATAGATGGGTCGCAACCATTCTATTTACATTGAATACGACTATATGTGAGTGAGTGAGTGAGTGACACTATGCTGCTTTTGCATATATCCAAGCATATCGCGGTTGTCTGTAAATAACCAGGAGTGGATGGTGATACACTGCTTGCCAAGACATTCATGACGTCTGGGCATGGTGGCACACAATCAACCAGGTCTCACTTTATGCCCCAACGCTATTCACATTGTCCGGGTCTTTCCAACACACCCGTTGAGGACCGCCATCGGTGGTAATTGATTACAAATAGAATATTCCACAACTTGTAGCAATATGAAAATGTATTATATGTGTTTCTTATTGAGGCGTGTTTGGAAATTCATTATGGTTGAGAATTTGTTGTTTTAACGGTGTTTATTTTATAAGGTTAGGCCATGTACAGTAGTTGTCTTTTAAGGATTTTACATTCTTTTTTTATAGGCTGAGCATGTAAAGAAATAATTAAATTCACCTTCATTGAATTGTGAATTACAAAAAGTACACACTCTCTGTCCCCGTAGACATGTTTCTACAGTCATTAGGTGCTTGGGACATATTCCAACCCGCAATCCATTCGGTAACAAATTGATACAAACAATAATGTGTATCGCAAATGGTTGTACGTCAGTGGTAAATTGTAATCTTATTATTGATCTGGAAGCCGTTCCAAAAAGCAATCTCAGCTCAAAGATGATCGTAACTTCCATACTTTAACATAGGTTTATGAAAGTCAAATCAGCAGTCCTTGGCGAGCACTCAGATTTCCCTCTTCCAAAATAGTACGATCGAGATCACGAAAGCCGACCGTTTTGATTCATTATCATACATACCAGTCGTGATAGAATAACGCCAATATTGCGTTATTACGTTTAGATGTCCATGTCATTAAGAAACATTATTTTGGAGAGAACTAGCTGACAAGACTTCATCCGCAAAGCGGAGTTTTACACAAGTTTGCACATCGCTTTTTCGAATCATACCTCATTGAACAGATACAAATACACACTCACTCCTCAAAATTAAATTCGCAGAGAGAAATATATACTGGGGCTTGACATGAATCAGGTGATTGTTTAATTTATGCACAAAATTAAGTACTACTACAAACCTTGCAGCCAATAGGCAGAGTGTAGCACGTTTGCTGTTTCATTCCTTCTTTGCCTTCGGCATGGAAGGGTAGTTTGCACACTGAATACACATGGATTTCGCTAAAAAGTCCTGTGTATGATGACACAGGTGAGGAGAAGGGAATTGTCTCGACCGTAATTGGGATTCCCGACATTCCGTACTGGTGAAAGCAGTCCACTTCAGCAGGCGTGGCTTATTTGTTTACATGCATTGGGAAAAGGACGCAATAACACGTGATGAGTTTAGCTCATAAGAATGCAGGAATTATAATGAGCACAAGGGAATTTATTCATTACAAGTTATTACAAATCTAACAAACAGAAAGAGGCAGTTGCCGTACATGACCTGACTTGTTTTTCCACCAAAGTATGGTTTGTATTCAACATGGTCACCAATTCCACGAGGTCCTGATTTACGGACTGTTGTTACTCTGCAGTTTTAATGCCTTTGGTTTGGACTTCATCACTTCCGTTGGTTTGACGAAATGAACACACTCGGACCGTAACTGTTTGTCCTTATGACGTCTGTGAGAAAGTATGATTCTCGACTCAATGCCCTTCAGAGGTAAGGTCGTATACTCAACTGTCCGATTTATGCGACGAAATGAGAAACATGTACAGATAAAAATGATAACTGTATTTGGTGGAATTTATTCATTTTTGTGGATCAATTGCACTCCGCAAGAAAACGTTCATCTTTGTGTTTCATGTTCATTGATGTACACAAATATTGATGTCAGCATTTGAATCATTAGAAAATCATTCTGAAGAAGTGTTTTGGATTGGAGAGACAAAATGACATTGTGTTGCTCATTGAGATAATCGAATAACAGAGCTGGACAAATTGGGATTTGACAAATAGGACCACTTGAAATTGTGTCCTTCATATGTAGCGTGACACTTCCATTTCATGTAATTTCCGTTTTAAGGACAAACTCCTGAATGTATTAGGGGTTAGATAATACGAATAATGAGATGTTTTTAAAAGAATGCACTGTTAGTTAAGTCTTTGCAGAACCAAAAAGAGCATAGCATTTCTAGCGGACCACTTAGGAACAAGAACCACTGAAATGCACATGTGAAACTTATGAAAAGTTATTATACTCGATCACCATGCACGTGTGTTAAGTTGATATAACCGACATCTAAAACGTTATTATATAGACCATTTAATAGCTAGAAATCAACACACGTCTATATTCCATTACTGAATCCAACTGTCCTAACGGTCTGACTGTCCTCCCATTTATTCTATCGCCCTTCGTCCGACATATTCGTATTTCATTCATTTAGAATTAATTCAATACACTGCCCGTACGCGTATCATGACACAAGTTACCCCTTATACTACAATATATTACACATAACCTTCCATCACTTGATATACTCCATACACTGCCCGTACGCGTATCATGACACAAGTTACCCCTTATACTACAATTTATTATACAGAACCTGCCATCACTTGATATACTCCATACACTGCCCGTACGCGTATCATGACACAAGTTACCCCTTATACTACAATATGTTATACAGAACCTGCCATCACTTGATATACTCCATACACTGTCCGTACGCGTATCATGACACAAGTTACCCCTTATACTACAATATGTTATACAGAACCTGCCATCACTTGATATACTCCATACACTGCCCGTACGCGTATCATGACACAAGTTACCCCTTATACTACAATATGTTATACAGAACCTGCCATCACTTGATATACTCCATACACTGCCCGTACGCGTATCATGACACAAGTTACCCTTTATACTACAATATATTATACAGAACCTGCCATCACTTGATATACTCCATACACTGCCCGTACGCGTATTATGACACAAGTTACCCCTTATACTACAATTTATTATACAGCACCTGCCATCACTTGATATACTCAATACACTGCCCGTACACGTATCATGACACAAGTTACCCCTTATACTACAATATATTATACAGCACCTTCCATCACTTGATATACTCCATACACTGCCCGTACGCGTATCATGACACAAGCTACCCCTTATACTAGAATATATCATAAAGCACCTTCCATCACTTGATATACTCCATACACTGCCCGTACGCGTATCATGACACAAGTTACCCCTTATACTACAATATATTATACAGAACCTGCCATCACTTGATATACTCCATACACTGCCCGTACGCGTATCATGACACAAGTTACCCCTTATACTACAATTTATTATACAGAACCTGCCATCACTTGATATACTCCATACACAGCCCGTACACGTATCATGACACAAGTTACCCCATTATACTACAATAATAATACAGCACCTGCCATCATTTGATATACTCTATACACTGCCCGTACACGTATCATGACACAAGTTACCCCTTATACTACAATATATAATACAGCACCTTCCATCACTTGATATACTCCATACACTGCCCGTACACGTATCATGACACAAGTTACCCCTTATACTAGAATATATTATAAAGCACCCTCCATCACGTTATATACTCCTTACACTGCCCGTACACGTATCATGACACAAGTTACCCCTTATACTACAATATATAATACAGCACCTTCCATCACTTGATATACTCCATACACTGCCCGTACGCGTATCATGACACAAGTTACCCCTTATACTACAATATGTTATACAGAACCTGCCATCACTTGATATACTCCATACACTGCCCGTACGCGTATCATGACACAAGTTACCCCTTATACTACAATATGTTATACAGAACCTGCCATCACTTGATATACTCCATACACTGCCCGTACGCGTATCATGACACAAGTTACCCCTTATACTACAATTTATTATACAGAACCTGCCATCACTTGATATACTCCATACACTGCCCGTACGCGTATCATGACACAAGTTACCCTTATACTACAATATATAATACAGCACCTTCCATCACTTGATATACTCCATACACTGTCCGTACACGTATCATGACACAAGTTACCCCTTATACTTCAATTTATTATACAGCACCTTCCATCACTTGATATACTCCATACACTGCCCGTACGCGTATCATGACACAAGCTACCCCTTATACTACAATTTATTATACAGCACCTTCCATCACTTGATATACTCCATACAATTCCCGTACACGTATCATGACACAAGTTACCCCTTATACTACAATATATTATACAGAACCTGCCATCACTTGATATACTCCATACACTGCCCGTACACGTATCATGACACAAGTTACCCCCTTATACTACAATATATTATACAGCACCTTCCATCACTTGATATACTCCATACAATTCCCGTACACGTATCATGACACAAGTTACCCCTTATACTACAATATATCATAAAGCACCCTCCATCACGTTATATACTCCATACACTGTCCGTACACGTATCATGACACAAGCTACCCCTTATACTACAATATATAATACAGCACCCTCCATCACGTTATATACTCCATACACTGCCCGTACACGTATCATGACACAAGTTACCCCTTATACTAGAATATATCATAAAGCACCCTCCATCACGTTATATACTCCATACACTGCCCGTACACGTATCATGACACAAGCTACCCCTTATACTACAATATATCATAAAGCACCCTCCATCACGTTATATACTTTCAGTCAACAATACACATCATCACCAGCATGAGAGCCCTTAACACAATCTTAAAATATCAACAACGTACAGAAAATACACCAAAGACAAAGCAGTAAAGTACTTGGGATTTAAACTAGTTGTTCAGAATAGATGGCAAAGCAGGCATCTGTCTTCAGCTGATATTGATTGTAAATAACCAGGAAGAATCCATCAATGGACACTAATCCTCACAGCTCTGTTTGGTGACATCGCAGCTCTTGGTGTTCACGTCAACAGAATCTGGAGAAAAGTTAACGAAAGTATTAACACCATCAATATCATTTGTGTTTGAGTGAACATTTATTTTATGAACCAAGTTGGTTAGGTATGTGACAACTGCTCCATGTCCAAACGCCCTGCATCGCTGGAGAAATCAACATATGTCACGGCATATATGTATAGAAACATATTTATAAATGTTCCACACTTACATACACGTAGAGAAAACATTAATACTGTTTACGTTTTGGAATTGAGAAGGGTGAAGTATATTTTGTTCACACTGTCTTCAGCAGTGATACATTGTTAAAGTACTGACACAAACCTATTTTAAATATTCTCCTCCACCCTTTGTCTAACTATCGTTAAAGGTATCGTGACTTTGTTTTGTAATTTAATACCAGTGGTAACGAATATATGTACGGCCATGTTTTTGCTGGTATTAACGTTGCATGGAGCATGGCACATTTATATTTATGTATGGAATCACAGTTTTAATACTGCATACACAATGTCCACCTGAGAGATCTCTGATGTCAATGTTTCAATACTGAAAATATTTAAGTATTTAGTTGAAAAGAATGGTTTTAGAATATGTAAAATCATATGCAGGTGACAGGTCAGCGTTGGTTCCTGACTTTGACTCTTCAGCCTATTGAAAACAGCTTTCATATTTTGATTCTCGATGTGTTATGCTGACGCGTTTGGTTGTATGAAATAGACGTTCGATATCTCAGAGTTGGAAACTAGGGTTTTCTCCTATCTTCTATGTAATAAGGTTCTCTCTTCGCAAACGCAGTGCCGTGTCAGCCATCATGGAGTTATTGAGGCATAGAGAAGTTGGCGCAATTTTACAGACAGGACACACTCATTTAGATACATCCATCCTTCATCCTGCGTCCTACACGTATCAGTAGATTGATTTAATTTAATTCGCTGCTGAAAGTACTTATGTAGGTAAAAACATAGTTGAACATGTAAGAACTATGATTCAATGAAACACTGAAGTTGATGTATATGAACGACTGGGCAAGATTGAAACTTGTACTTACCATGCTCGAATGGACTGGGCCGAGGCATGAACGAATTCCTTGATGTTGGAAATAAATAAAAGGTTTTACTGGTTATCGAACAAACCTATGCGAAGCATCAGTGAAATTGAATACTTATACGTAGTTGTTTTGTTTTTTTCTTGTTGCACTGCACTCAGCAATATTCCAGCTATATGAGGGCGGTCTGTAAAAACATCGAGTCTGGACCAGACAATCCAGTGATTGAAATCATTAGCGTCGATCTACGCTATTGGAATACGATGACATGCATCAACAAGTCAGCGAGCCTGACCACCCGGTCCCGTTAGTCGCCTCTTACGACAAGCATAGTCGCCTCTTACGGCAAGAATGGATTGCTGAAGACCTATTCTACCCCGGATCTTCACAGGTTACTTAAGCAATTGGGATACAATGACATGCACTGACCCAGATTTCCAGAAGGACAACTGCTACGTTATACTTACATAGGTAGGTTTGTAGGTTCCTCTCCACCTACAACTTGACATAATAATAAAATATTGTCTTAATTACAATAGGAAAGGACGTTCGACAACAAGCAAATAAAATATAAAACAGTATGTAAACCTACAGTAATTTACAACAAGTAATATATAGTAATATATGATGAAATAAGGTCATACATGATAATCTTTATGGCGGGTGGGGGTAGAAGAAGGTAGGTCGGGGTACAGGGTGAGGCGTAGTTTTGGGGCTAGGATTAGGGGAAAAGCAGTTTCCATGTTGCCATTCCACAGACCAGAAATAAGTCACTATCAGTAGAAGTAAATTACTTAAAATTATTTTTTTTGGTAAATTTATCACAATGACTCCCTCCCTTCTTGGATTAACTGAGGCCATGAACATATTTGAAATTTAATTTCTTTATAAATCGACCTAACGACCTCAATTGTTAGACTGAAAATCCGTAACCCCAAAAATATCAGACCTAAACATTCTCAAATACATACCCAAATGTTTCGACATTACTATAATCTTAATTTGAACCAAATGAAAGTTTGTTATTGGTTCATTAATCCAGTTACTCTTATAGTTAATATATAGTGATTGGTCCTAATTTACAAATTACTCATTAAATAAAGTTCTGCAAACCAAGAGCAGTGTTCATTATGGCGATGGTTACACATAGGACATTGCAAATAAGCTTAACACGATTGAACATATCACAATTTCCCCGTCTATGCCTCGAAAAGAAGTAAACGATATATGCTTACATAGTATGGTCACGTTGACGGAGGCAGAGTCTGATCCTACTGTGTTTCTGACAGTACAGGTGTACGCCCCTCCCTGACTCCTACTGATGCTGCTTCTTGTCAGTACAGCTCTTCTACCGACAGATGACCCTCCATGTGACCAACTGTAGGTTGTTGCAGAAGGGTTGCCATGTGTTGTATATGAACTACAGTCCAGTCTTAAAGTAGCTGACTCAGTCACTTGGAACGTTGATGGGAGGCCAGATATTTCAGGTGAATCTACAAGCAAGAAGTGTTAACGACAGTGCTCAAGACCCATTTCGATTGACGGATGCAAAGATTTTCCTGTTTTTCAAATGCTTCCAATCTTTTAAGTAAAAAATACGTTTCTATTGAAACAAAGTGTTTGTGCTTGTATTGGTGTGTTTCGACATTACTATAATCTTAATTTGAACCAAATTAAAGTTTGTCATTGGTCCATTAATCCAGTTCCTCTTATAGTTAATATATAGTGATTGGTCCTAATTTACAAATTACTCATTAAATAATGTTGTGCAAACCAAGAGCAGTGTTCATTATGGCGATGGTTACACATGGGACATTGCAAATAAGCTTAACACGATTGAACATATCACAATTTCCCCGTCTATGCCTCGAAAAGAAGTAAACGAAATATGCTTACATAGTATGGTTACGTTGACGGAGGCAGAGTCTGATCCTACTGTGTTTCTGACAGTACAGGTGTACGCCCCTCCCTGACTCCTACTGATGCTGCTTCTTGTCAGTACAGCTCCTCTACCGACAGATGACCCTCCATGTGACCAACTGTAGGTTGCTGCTTGTGGGTTGCCCTGTCTTGTATATGAACTACAGTCCAGTCTTAAAGTAGCTGACTCATTCACTTGGTACGTGGATGGGAGGCCAGATATTTCAGGTGAATCTACAAGCAAGAAGATTCATCAATACTGGTCCATAACCAATTATATCTATGGATGCAAGGATGTCCAAGTCTTTCAAATGCATCAACTCTTTACTATGACATACTTTCCTACTGCTCCTTTCTGTTTATTTAACATATCTTCACGAATGTGAAAATTATCTCCGGGATTCCCTAAGTATAGGATATAAACCGCCTGTGCGGGCTATCTGTGAATATATTGCAGTCCGGCAAAGGAAAAGCCCGCAGGCCGTAGGCCCAACGGATGTCCCTGCACTGGAGTGCATTATTTTCATTGATAGCCATAGGAGAAGGTTTATATCTGACTTATAAACCGACAGATATGAAGATGCATTTTTGTTTAATTGACATTACTTTAATTCTGAAATTTCAATTGTAGCACTCGAAAGTTCTCAGTCAAAAGCGCACAGCTCGAGAATCCCGTGGGCAGAGGGATTTTCGGAGAAAAGAACAACCTGCTGTAACAATGGTAATGCATCACTGGAGGTTTATAAGATGTGTGTGTGTAGTTGCGCTGCTTCAGAGACTGGATACGTGAAAATGGCAGTTAAACATAAGTTTATATTAAGTTATAGGTGTTTTAGGTGTCTTAGGTTCGTTTACAAATCAACATGCGTTCAAATATTCAACAATTTCAAACAATAATTGTTATATGTTTTGTTAATACAGTTTCGATTAGAATATATAACGATTAATCACAACTTAGAAATTACTTAGTAATAAATGGTGTTCAAACCAAGAGCGTTGTTCATAATGATGATGCTTACACAGATAACATTACAAATACGTTTGGAACTATAACAATTTCCTCTGCCATGCCTGGAAAAGAAGTAAACAAAATTTGCTTACATCTTACGTCTACGTTGACGGAGGCAGAATCTGATCCTACTGTGTTTCTGGCAGTACAGGTGTACGCCCCTCCCTGACTCCTACTGATGCTGCTTCTTGTCAGTACAGCTCTTCTACTGACAGTTGACCCTCCATGTGACCAACTGTAGGTTGTTGCAGAAGGGTAGCCATGTGTTGTATATGAACTACAGTCCAGTCTTAAAGTAGCTGACTCAGTCACTTGGTATGTTGATGGGAGGCCAGATATGGCAGGTGAATCTTCAAGCAAGAGGCGTTAACAACAGAGTTCAAGAACCATTCCGATTTATGGATGCAAAGATGTTCCTGTTTTTCAAATGCGTCCAATCTTTATAGTGAAAAATACGTTTCTCTTGAGACAAAATGGGTTTGGGTTTGTATGGGTGTGTTTTGACATTACTATAATCTTAATTTGAACCAAATGAAAGTTTGTTATTGGTTCATTAATCCAGTTACTCTTATAGTTAATATATGGTGATTGGTCCTAATTTACAAATTACTCATTAAATAAAGTTCTGCAAACCAAGAGCAGTGTTCATTATGGCGATGGTTACACATAGGACATTGCAAATAAGCTTAACACGATTGAACATATCACAATTTCCCCGTCTATGCCTCGAAAAGAAGTACACAATATATGCTTACATAGTATGGTCACGTTGACGGAGGCAGAGTCTGATCCTACAGTGTTTCTGACAGTACAGGTGTACGCCCCTCCCTGACTCCTACTGATGCTGCTTCTTGTCAGTACAGCTCTTCTACCGACAGATGACCCCCCATGTGACCAACTGTAGGTTGTTGCAGAAGGGTTGCCATGTGTTGTATATGAACTACAGTCCAGTCTTAAAGTAGCTGACTCAGTCACTTGGAACGTTGATGGGAGGCCAGATATTTCAGGTGAATCTACAAGCAAGAAGTGTTAACGACAGTGCTCAAGACCCATTTCGATTGACGGATGCAAAGATTTTCCTGTTTTTCAAATGCTTCCAATCTTTTAAGTAAAAAATACGTTTCTATTGAAACAAAGTGTTTGTGCTTGTATTGGTGTGTTTCGACATTACTATAATCTTAATTTGAACCAAATTAAAGTTTGTCATTGGTCCATTAATCCAGTTCCTCTTATAGTTAATATATAGTGATTGGTCCTAATTTACAAATTACTCATTAAATAATGTTGTGCAAACCAAGAGCAGTGTTCATTATGGCGATGGTTACACATGGGACATTGCAAATAAGCTTAACACGATTGAACATATCACAATTTCCCCGTCTATGCCTCGAAAAGAAGTAAACGAAATATGCTTACATAGTATGGTTACGTTGACGGAGGCAGAGTCTGATCCTACTGTGTTTCTGACAGTACAGGTGTACGCCCCTCCCTGACTCCTACTGATGCTGCTTCTTGTCAGTACAGCTCCTCTACCGACAGATGACCCTCCATGTGACCAACTGTAGGTTGCTGCTTGTGGGTTGCCCTGTCTTGTATATGAACTACAGTCCAGTCTTAAAGTAGCTGACTCATTCACTTGGTACGTGGATGGGAGGCCAGATATTTCAGGTGAATCTACAAGCAAGAAGATTCATCAATACTGGTCCATAACCAATTATATCTATGGATGCAAGGACGTCCAAGTCTTTCAAATGCATCAACTCTTTACTATGACATACTTTCCTACTGCTCCTTTCTGTTTATTTAACATATCTTCACGAATGTGAAAATTATCTCCGGGATTCCCTAAGTATAGGATATAAACCGCCTGTGCGGGCTATCTGTGAATATATTGCAGTCCGGCAATGCTTCCAATCTTTTAAGTAAAAAATACGTTTCTATTGAAACAAAGTGTTTGTGCTTGTATTGGTGTGTTTCGACATTACTATAATCTTAATTTGAACCAAATTAAAGTTTGTCATTGGTCCATTAATCCAGTTCCTCTTATAGTTAATATATAGTGATTGGTCCTAATTTACAAATTACTCATTAAATAATGTTGTGCAAACCAAGAGCAGTGTTCATTATGGCGATGGTTACACATGGGACATTGCAAATAAGCTTAACACGATTGAACATATCACAATTTCCCCGTCTATGCCTCGAAAAGAAGTAAACGAAATATGCTTACATAGTATGGTTACGTTGACGGAGGCAGAGTCTGATCCTACTGTGTTTCTGACAGTACAGGTGTACGCCCCTCCCTGACTCCTACTGATGCTGCTTCTTGTCAGTACAGCTCCTCTACCGACAGATGACCCTCCATGTGACCAACTGTAGGTTGCTGCTTGTGGGTTGCCCTGTCTTGTATATGAACTACAGTCCAGTCTTAAAGTAGCTGACTCATTCACTTGGTACGTGGATGGGAGGCCAGATATTTCAGGTGAATCTACAAGCAAGAAGATTCATCAATACTGGTCCATAACCAATTATATCTATGGATGCAAGGATGTCCAAGTCTTTCAAATGCATCAACTCTTTACTATGACATACTTTCCTACTGCTCCTTTCTGTTTATTTAACATATCTTCACGAATGTGAAAATTATCTCCGGGATTCCCTAAGTATAGGATATAAACCGCCTGTGCGGGCTATCTGTGAATATATTGCAGTCCGGCAAAGGAAAAGTCCGCAGGCCGTAGGCCCAACGGATGTCCCTGCGCTGGAGCGCATTATTTTCACGGATAGCCATAGGAGAAGGTTTATATCTGACTTATAAACCGACAGATATGAAGATGCATTTTTGTTTAATTGACATTACTTTAATTCTGAAATTTCAATTGTAGCACTCGAAAGTTCTCAGTCAAAAGCGCACAGCTCGAGAATCCCGTGGGCAGAGGGATTTTCGGAGAAAAGAACAACCTGCTGTAACAATGGTAATGCATCACTGGAGGTTTATAAGATGTGTGTGTGTAGTTGCGCTGCTTCAGAGACTGGATACGTGAAAATGGCAGTTAAACATAAGTTTCTATTAAGTTATAGGTGTTTTAGGTGTCTTAGGTTCGTTTACAAATCAACATGCGTTCAAATATTCAACAAATTCAAACAATAACTGTTATATGTTTTGTTAATACAGTTTCGATTAGAATATATAACGATTAATCATAATTTAGAAATTACTTATTAATAAATGGTGTTCAAACCAAGAGCAGTGTTCATTATGGCGATGGTTACACTTAGGACATTGCAAATAAGCTTAACACGATTGAACATATCACAATTTCCTCGTCTTTGCCTCGAAAAGAAGTAAACGAAATATGCTTACATAGTATGGTCACGTTGACGGAGGCAGAGTCCGATCCTACTGTGTTTCTGACAGTACAGGTGTACGCCCCTCCCTGACTCCTACTGATGCTGCTTCTTGTCAGTACAGCTCCTCTACCGACAGTTGACCCTCCATGTGACCAAGTGTAGGATGTTGCAGAAGGATTGCCCTGTGTTGTATATGAACTACAGTCCAGCCTTAAAGTGGCTGACTCAGTCACTTGGTACGTGGATGGGAGGCCAGATATTTCAGGTGAATCTACAAGCAAGAAGATTCATCAATACTGGTTCAGAACCAATTATATCTATGGATGCAAGGATGTTCAAGTCTTTCAAATGCATCAACTCTTTACTATGACATACCGGTCCTTTCTGTTTAATTAACATACCTCACGAATGTGAAAATTATCTCCGGGATTCCCAAAGTATAAGATATAAACCGCCTCCGTGGGCTATCCGTGAAAATAATGCAGTCCGGCAAAGGAAAAGTCCGCAGGCCGTAGGCCCAACGGATGTTCCTGCGCTGGAGTGCATTATTTTCACGGATAGCCATAGGAGAAGGTTTATATCTGACTTATAAACCGAAGGATATGAAGATGCATTTTTGTTTAATTGACATTACTTTAATTCTGAAATTTCAATTGTAGCACTCGAAAGTTCTCAGTCAAAAGCGCACAGCTCGAGAATCCCGTGGGCAGAGGGATTTTCGGAGAAAAGAACAACCTGCTGTAACAATGGTAATGCATCACTGGAGGTTTATAAGATGTGTGTGTGTAGTTGCGCTGCTTCATAGACTAGATACGTGAAAATGGCAGTTAAACATAAGTTTCTATTAAGTTATAGGTGTTTTAGGTGTCTTAGGTTCGTTTACAAATCAACATGCGTTCAAATATTCAACAAATTCAAACAATAATTGTTATATGTTTTGTTAATACAGATTCGATTAGAATATATAACGATTAATCATAACTTAGAAATTACTTATTAATAAATGGTGTTCAAACCAAGAGCGTTGTTCATAATGATGATGCTTACACAGTTCACATTACAAATACGTTTGGAACTATAACAATTTCCTCTGCCATGCCTGGAAGAGAAGTAAACAAAATTTGCTTACATCTTACGTCTACGTTGACGGAGGCAGATTCTGATCCTACTGTGTTTCTGGCAGTACAGGTGTACGCCCCTCCCTGACTCCTACTGATGCTGCTTCTTGTCAGTACAGCTCTTCTACCGACAGATGACCCTCCATGTGACCAACTGTAGGTTGTTGCAGATGGGTTGCCATTTGTTGTGTGTGAACTACAGTCCAGTCTTAAAGTAGTTGACTCAGTCACTTGGTACGTGGATGGGAGGCCAGATATGTCAGGTGAATCTACAAGCAAGAAGTGTTAACAACAGTGCTCAAGACCATTTTTTGATTTACAGGTGCAAGATGTTCCTGTTTTTCAAATGCTTCCAATCTTTATAGTGAAAAATACGTTTCTACTGAGACAGAGTGTGTTTGGGCTTGTATGGGTGTGTTTCGACATTAACACAATCTTAATTTGAACCAAATGAAAGTTTGTTTTTGGTTCAATTATCCAGTTACTCTTATAGGTAATATATAATGATTGGTCCTAATTTACAAATTACTCATTAGATAATGTTGTGCAAACCAAGAGCAGTGTTCATTATGGCGATGGTTACCCATAGGACATTGCAAATAAGCTCAACACGATTGAACTTATCACAATTTCCTCGTCTATGCCTCGAAAAGAAGTAAACGAAATATGCTTACATAGTATGGTCACGTTGACGGAGGCAGAGTCTGATCCTACTGTGTTCCTGACAGTACAGGTGTACGCCCCTCCCTGACTCCTACTGATGCTGCTTCTTGTCAGTACAGCTCTTCTACCGACAGATGACCCTCCACGTGACCAACTGTAGGTTGTTGCAGAAGGGTTGCCATGTGTTGTATATGAACTACAGTCCAGTCTTAAAGTGGCTGACTCAGTCACTTGGTACGTGGATGGGAGGCCAGATATATCAGGTGAATCTACAAGCAAGAAGATGCATCAATACTGGTCCAGAACCAATTATATCTATGGATGCAAGGACGTCCAAGTCTTTCAAATGCATCAACTCTTTACTATGACATACTTTCCTACTGCTCCTTTCTGTTTAATTAACATATCTTCACGAATGTGAAAATTATCTACAGGATTCCCTAAGTATAGGATATAAAAGGCCTGTGCGGGCTATCTGTGAAAATAATGCAGTCCGGCAAAGGAAAAGCCCGCAGGCTGTAGGCCCAACGGATGTTCCTTGCGCTGGAGTGCATTATTTTCACGGATAGCCATACGAGAAAGTTTATATCGGACTTAAAAACCGACAGATATGAAGATGCATTTTTGTTTAATTGACATACTTTAATTCTGAAATTTCAATTGTAGCACTCGAAAGTTCTCAGTCAAAAGCGCACAGCTCGAGAATCCCGTGGGCAGAGGGATTTTCGGAGAAAAGAACAACCTGCTGTAACAATGGTAATGCATCACTGGAGGTTTATAAGATGTGTGTGTGTAGTTGCGCTGCTTCATAGACTGGATACGTGAAAATGGCAGTTAAACATAAGTTTCTATTAAGTTATAGGTGTTTTAGGTGTCTTAGGTTCGTTTACAAATCAACATGCGTTCAAATATTCAACAAATTCAAACAATAATTGTTATGTGTTTTGTTCATACAGTTTCGATTAGAATATATAACGATTAATCACAACTTAGAAATTACTTATTAATAAATGATGTTCAAACCAAGAGCGTTTTTCATAATGATGATGCTTACACAGATAACATTACAAATACGTTTGGAACTATAACAATTTCCTCTGACATGCCTGGAAAAGAAGTAAACAAAATTTGCTTACATCTTATGTCTACGTTGACGGAGGCAGAGTCTGATCCTACTGTGTTTCTGGCAGTACAGGTGTACGCCCCTCCCCGACTTCTACTGATGCTGCTTCTTGTCAGTACAGCTCCTCTACTGACAGTTGACCCTCCATGTGACCAACTGTAGGTTGTTGCAGATGGGTTGCCATTTGTTGTGTGTGAACTACAGTCCAGTCTTAAAGTAGCTGACTCAGTCACTTGGTACGTGGATGGGAGGCCAGATATGGCAGGTGAATCTACAAGCAAGAAGTGTTAACAACAGTGCCCAAGACCCATTTCGATTCACAGATGCAAAGATGTTCCTGTTTTTCAAATGCTTCCAATCTTTATAGTGAAAAATACGTTTCTACTGAGACAGAGTGTGTTTGGGCTTGTTTGGGTGTGTTTCGACATTAACACAATCGTTATTTGAACCAAATGAAAGTTTGTTTTTGGTTCAATTATCCAGTTACTCTTATAGGTAATATATAATGATTGGTCCTAATTTACAAATTACTCATTAGAAAATGTTGTGCAAACCAAGTGCAGTGTTCATTATGGCGATGGTTACACATGGGACATTGCAAATAAGCTTAACACGATTGAACATATCACAATTTCCTCTTCTATGCCTCGAAAAGAGGTAAACGAAATATGCTTACATAGTATTGTTACGTTGACGGAGGCGATGTCTGATCCTACTGTGTTACTGGCAGTACAGGTGTATTCCCCTCCCTGACTCCTACTGATGCTGATTCTTGTCAGTACAGCTCCTCTCCCGACAGATGACCCTCCATGTGACCAACTGTAGGTTGTTGCAGAAGGGTAGCCATGTGTTGTATATGAACTACAGTCCAGTGTTAAAGTAGCTGACTCAGTCACTTGGTATGTTGATGGGAGGCCAGATATGGCAGGTGAATCTTCAAGCAAGAGGCGTTAACAACAGAGTTCAAGAACCATTCCGATTTATGGATGCAAAGATGTTCCTGTTTTTCAAATGCGTCCAATCTTTATAGTGAAAAATACGTTTCTCTTGAGACAAAATGGGTTTGGGCTTGTATGGGTGTGTTTTTACATTACCATAATCTTAATTTGAACCAAATGAAAGTTTGTTATTGGTTCATTAATCCAGTTACTCTTATAGTTAATATATGGTGAAGGGTCCTAATTTAAAAATTACTTATTAAATAAAGTTCTGCAAACCAAGAGCAGTGTTCATTATTGCGATGATTACACATAGGACATTGCAAATAAGCTTAACACGATTTAACATATCACAATTTCCCCGTCTTTGCCTCGAAAAGAAGTAAACAATATATGCTTACATAGTATGGTCACGTTGACGGAGGCAGAGTCTGATCCTACTGTGTTTCTGACAATACAGGTGTACGCCCCTCCCTGACTCCTACTGATGCTGCTTCTTGTCAGTACAGCTCTTCTACCGACAGATGACCCTCCATGTGACCAACTGTAGGTTGCTGCTTGTGGGTTGCCCTGTGTTGTATATGAACTACAGTCCAGTCTTAAAGTAGCTGACTCAATCACTTGGTACGTGGATGGGAGGCCAGATATTTCAGGTGAATCTACAAGCAAGAAGATGCATCAATACTGGTCCATAACCAATTATATCTATGGATGCAAGGATGTCCAAGTCTTTCAAATGCATCAACTCTTTACTATGACATACTTTCCTACTGCTCCTTTATGTTTAATTAACATATCTTCACGAATGTGAAAATTATCTCCTGGATTCCCTAAGTATAGGATATAAACCGCCTCCGTGCGGGCTATCCGTGAAAATATTGCAGTCCGGCAAAGGAAAAGCCCGCAGGCCGTAGGTCCAACATATGTTCCTGCGCTGGAGTGCATTATTTTCACAGATAGCCATAGGAGAAGGTTTATATCTGACTTATAAACCGACAGATATGAAGATGCATTTTTGTTTAATTGACATTACTTTAATTCTGAAATTTCAATTGTAGCACTCGAAAGTTCTCAATCAAAAGTGCACAGCTCGAAAATCCCGTTGGCAGAGGGATTTTCGGAGAAAAGAACAACCTGCTGTAACAATGGTAATGCATCACTGGAGGTTTATAAGATGTGTGTGTGTGTGTAGTTGCGCTGCTTCAGAGACTGGATACGTGAAAATGGCAGTTAAACATAAGTTTCTATTAAGTTATAGGTGTTTTAGGTGTCTTAGGTTCGTTTACAAATCAACATGCGTTCAAATATTCAACAATTTCAAACAATAATTGTTATATGTTTTGTTAATACAGTTTCGATTAGAATATATAACGATTAATCACAACTTAGAAATTACTTATTAATAAATGGTGTTCAAACCAAGAGCAGTGTTCATTATGGCGATGGTTACACATAGGACATTGCAAATAAGCTTAACACGATTGAACATATCACAATTTCCTCGTCTATGCCTCGAAAAGAAGTAAACGAAATATGCTTACATAGTATGGTCACGTTGACGGAGGCAGAGTCCGATCCTACTGTGTTTCTGACAGTACAGGTGTACGCCCCTCCCTGACTCCTACTGATGCTGCTTCTTGTCAGTACAGCTCCTCTACCGACAGTTGACCCTCCATGTGACCAAGTGTAGGATGTTGCAGAAGGATTGCCCTGTGTTGTATATGAACTACAGTCCAGCCTTAAAGTGGCTGACTCAGTCACTTGGTACGTGGATGGGAGGCCAGATATTTCAGGTGAATCTACAAGCAAGAAGATTCATCAATACTGGTTCAGAACCAATTATATCTATGGATGCAAGGATGTTCAAGTCTTTCAAATGCATCAACTCTTTACTATGACATACCGGTCCTTTCTGTCTAATTAACATACCTCACGAATGTGAAAATTATCTCCTGGATTCCCTAAGTATAGGATATAAACCGCCTCCGTGGGCTATCCGTGAAAATAATGCAGTCCGGCAAAGGAAAAGTCCGCAAGCCGTAGGCCCAACATATGTTCCTGCGTTGGAGTGCCTTATTTTCATGGATAGCCATAGGAGAAGGTTTATATCTGACTTATAAACCGAAGGATATGAAGATGCATTTTTATTTAATTTACATTACTTTAATTCTGAAATTTCAATTGTAGCACTCGAAAGTTCTCAGTCAAAAGTGCACAGCTCGAGAATCCCGTGGGCAAAGGGATTTTCGGTGAAAAGAACAACCTGCTGTAACAATGGTAATGCATCACTGGAGGTTTATAAGATGTGTGTGTGTAGTTGCGCTGCTTCAGAGACTGGATACGTGAAAATGGCAGTTAAACATAAGTTTCTATTAAGTTATAGGTGTTTTAGGTGTCTTAGGTTCGTTTACAAATCAACATGCGTTCAAATATTCAACAATTTCAAACAATAATTGTTATATGTTTTGTTAATACAGTTTCGATTAGAATATATAACGATTAATCACAACTTAGAAATTACTTAGTAATAAATGGTGTTCAAACCAAGAGCGTTGTTCATAATGATGATGCTTACACAGATAACATTACAAATACGTTTGGAACTATAACAATTTCCTCTGCCATGCCTGGAAAAGAAGTAAACAAAATTTGCTTACATCTTACGTCTACGATGACGGAGGCAGAGTCTGATCCTACTGTGTTTCTGGCAGTACAGGTGTACGCCCCTCCCTGACTCCTACTGATGCTGCTTCTTGTCAGTACAGCTCTTCTACTGACAGTTGACCCTCCATGTGACCAACTGTAGGTTGTTGCAGAAGGGTAGCCATGTGTTGTATATGAACTACAGTCCAGTCTTAAAGTAGCTGACTCAGTCACTTGGTATGTTGATGGGAGGCCAGATATGGCAGGTGAATCTTCAAGCAAGAGGCGTTAACAACAGAGTTCAAGAACCATTCCGATTTATGGATGCAAAGATGTTCCTGTTTTTCAAATGCGTCCAATCTTTATAGTGAAAAATACGTTTCTCTTGAGACAAAATGGGTTTGGGTTTGTATGGGTGTGTTTTGACATTACTATAATCTTAATTTGAACCAAATGAAAGTTTGTTATTGGTTCATTAATCCAGTTACTCTTATAGTTAATATATGGTGATTGGTCCTAATTTACAAATTACTCATTAAATAAAGTTCTGCAAACCAAGAGCAGTGTTCATTATGGCGATGGTTACACATAGGACATTGCAAATAAGCTTAACACGATTGAACATATCACAATTTCCCCGTCTATGCCTCGAAAAGAAGTAAACGATATATGCTTACATAGTATGGTCACGTTGACGGAGGCACAGTCTGATCCTACTGTGTTTCTGACAGTACAGGTGTACGCCCCTCCCTGACTCCTACTGATGCTGCTTCTTGTCAGTACAGCTCTTCTACCGACAGATGACCCTCCATGTGACCAACTGTAGGTTGTTGCAGAAGGGTTGCCATGTGTTGTATATGAACTACAGTCCAGTCTTAAAGTAGCTGACTCAGTCACTTGGAACGTTGATGGAAGGCCAGATATTTCAGGTGAATCTACAAGCAAGAAGTGTTAACGACAGTGCTCAAGACCCATTTCGATTGACGGATGCAAAGATTTTCCTGTTTTTCAAATGCTTCCAATCTTTTAAGTAAAAAATACGTTTCTATTGAAACAAAGTGTTTGTGCTTGTATTGGTGTGTTTCGACATTACTATAATCTTAATTTGAACCAAATTAAAGTTTGTCATTGGTCCATTAATCCAGTTCCTCTTATAGTTAATATATGGTGATTGGTCCTAATTTACAAATTACTCATTAAATAAAGTTCTGCAAACCAAGAGCAGTGTTCATTATGGCGATGGTTACACATAGGACATTGCAAATAAGCTTAACACGATTGAACATATCACAATTTCCCCGTCTATGCCTCGAAAAGAAGTAAACGATATATGCTTACATAGTATGGTCACGTTGACGGAGGCACAGTCTGATCCTACTGTGTTTCTGACAGTACAGGTGTACGCCCCTCCCTGACTCCTACTGATGCTGCTTCTTGTCAGTACAGCTCTTCTACCGACAGATGACCCTCCATGTGACCAACTGTAGGTTGTTGCAGAAGGGTTGCCATGTGTTGTATATGAACTACAGTCCAGTCTTAAAGTAGCTGACTCAGTCACTTGGAACGTTGATGGAAGGCCAGATATTTCAGGTGAATCTACAAGCAAGAAGTGTTAACGACAGTGCTCAAGACCCATTTCGATTGACGGATGCAAAGATTTTCCTGTTTTTCAAATGCTTCCAATCTTTTAAGTAAAAAATACGTTTCTATTGAAACAAAGTGTTTGTGCTTGTATTGGTGTGTTTCGACATTACTATAATCTTAATTTGAACCAAATTAAAGTTTGTCATTGGTCCATTAATCCAGTTACTCTTATAGTTAATATATGGTGATTGGTCCTAATTTACAAATTACTCATTAAATAATGTTGTGCAAACCAAGAGCAGTGTTCATTATGGCGATGGTTACACATGGGACATTGCAAATAAGCTTAACACGATTGAACATATCACAATTTCCCCGTCTATGCCTCGAAAAGAAGTGAACGAAATATGCTTACATAGTATGGTTACGTTGACGGAGGCAGAGTCTGATCCTACTGTGTTTCTGACAGTACAGGTGTACGCCCCTCCCTGACTCCTACTGATGCTGCTTCTTGTCAGTACAGCTCCTCTACCGACAGATGACCCTCCATGTGACCAACTGTAGGTTGCTGCTTGTGGGTTGCCCTGTCTTGTATATGAACTACAGTCCAGTCTTAAAGTAGCTGACTCATTCACTTGGTACGTGGATGGGAGGCCAGATATTTCAGGTGAATCTACAAGCAAGAAGATTCATCAATACTGGTCCATAACCAATTATATCTATGGATGCAAGGATGTCCAAGTCTTTCAAATGCATCAACTCTTTACTATGACATACTTTCCTACTGCTCCTTTCTGTTTATTTAACATATCTTCACGAATGTGAAAATTATCTCCGGGATTCCCTAAGTATAGGATATAAACCGCCTGTGCGGGCTATCTGTGAATATATTGCAGTCCGGCAAAGGAAAAGCCCGCAGGCCGTAGGCCCAACGGATGTCCCTGCGCTGGAGTGCATTATTTTCACGGATAGCCATAGGAGAAGGTTTATATCTGACTTATAAACCGACAGATATGAAGATGCATTTTTGTTTAATTGACATTACTTTAATTCTGAAATTTCAATTGTAGCACTCGAAAGTTCTCAGTCAAAAGCGCACAGCTCGAGAATCCCGTGGGCAGAGGGATTTTCGGAGAAAAGAACAACCTGCTGTAACAATGGTAATGCATCACTGGAGGTTTATAAGATGTGTGTGTGTAGTTGCGCTGCTTCAGAGACTGGATACGTGAAAATGGCAGTTAAACATAAGTTTCTATTAAGTTATAGGTGTTTTAGGTGTCTTAGGTTCGTTTACAAATCAACATGCGTTCAAATATTCAACAATTTCAAACAATAATTGTTATATGTTTTGTTAATACAGTTTCGATTAGAATATATAACGATTAATCACAACTTAGAAATTACTTAGTAATAAATGGTGTTCAAACCAAGAGCGTTGTTCATAATGATGATGCTTACACAGATAACATTACAAATACGTTTGGAACTATAACAATTTCCTCTGCCATGCCTGGAAAAGAAGTAAACAAAATTTGCTTACATCTTACGTCTACGTTGACGGAGGCAGAGTCTGATCCTACTGTGTTTCTGGCAGTACAGGTGTACGCCCCTCCCTGACTCCTACTGATGCTGCTTCTTGTCAGTACAGCTCTTCTACTGACAGTTGACCCTCCATGTGACCAACTGTAGGTTGTTGCAGAAGGGTAGCCATGTGTTGTATATGAACTACAGTCCAGTCTTAAAGTAGCTGACTCAGTCACTTGGTATGTTGATGGGAGGCCAGATATGGCAGGTGAATCTACAAGCAAGAGGCGTTAATAACAGAGCTCAAGACCCATTCCGATTTATGGATGCAAAGATGTTCCTGTTTTTCAAATGCGTCCAATCTTTATAGTGAAAAATAGGTAAACAAAATATGCTTACATAGTATGGTTACGTTGACGGAGGCGATGTCTGATCCTACTGTGTTACTGGCGGTACAGGTGTATTCCCCTCTCTGACTCCTACTGATGCTGCTTCTTGTCAGTACAGCTCCTATACTGACAGATGACCCTCCATGTGACCAATTGTAGGTTGTTGCAGAAGGGTAGCCATGTGTTGTATATGAACTACAGTCCAGTCTTAAAGTAGTTGACTCATTCACTTGGTATGTTGATGGGAGGCCAGATATTTCAGGTGAATCTTCAAGCAAGAGGCGTTAACAACAGTGCTCAAGAACCATTCCGATTTATGGATGCAAAGATGTTCCTGTTTTTCAAATGATTCCATTTTCTACATTGAAAATACGTTTCTACTTATGATTGTGCTATCATGGGTGTGTTTCGACATTGACATAATCTTAATTTGAACCAAATGAAAGATTATTATTGGTATATTAATTCAATGTTGTGCAAAGAAATAGCAGTGTTCATAACGGTGACGGTTACACATAGGAAATCGCAAAAACGTTTTAAAAGATTAAACATATCACAATTTCTTCTACATAACCTGTCATATATAAAATAAGCTTCCTTAGATCCCAAGTTATTGGTGAGCACGAAATATCTTAACAGCTTCCCCAGCACATGTGCAGCAATAAATCACCGGACTTCATAAATCGTTTTCTTTAACAGAAAAAAAACACACATTTTTTCATGATGTGCATGCTACAGGCGACACATCAACGACCATGTGTTTGTGTAACAACTAATCTATACAATCCGGATGTTTGGCGATACCATTTATGCATGTAACCCTGAACAAGAGCATATACACCGTACCACCACCAGCGTCTGCACCCTACATTAAGCCACACGGCCACTCACATTGTACCACCACCAGTGTCTGCAGCCAACATTAGGTCACACTGCCACTAACATTGTACCACCATCAGTGTCTGCAGCCTACATTAAGTCACACTGCCATTCACATTGTACCACAACCAGTGTCTGCAGCCTACATTATGTCACACTACCACTAACATTGTACCACCATCAGTGTCTGCAGCCTTCATTACTCCACACTACCACTCACATTGTACCACAACCAGTGTCTGCACCCTACATTAAGTCACACTGCCACTAACATTGTACCACCATCAGTGTCTGCAGCCTGCATTAAGTCACACTGCCACTCACATTGTACCACAACCAGCGTCTGCAGCCAACATTAGGTCACACTGCCACTAACATTGTACCACCATCAGAGTCTGCAGCCTGCATTACTCCACATTACCACTCACATTGTACCACCACCAGCGTCTGCAGCCTACATTAAGTAAAACTGCAACTCACATTGTACCACCACCAGTGTCTGCAGCCTACATTATGTCACACTGCCACTAACATTGTACCACCATCAGTGTCTGCAGCCTGCATTACTCCACACTACCACTCACATTGTACCACAACCAGTGTCTGCACCCTACATTAAGTCACACTGCCACTCACATTGTACCACCACCAGTGTCTGCAGCCTACATTATGTCACACTGCCACTAACATTGTACCATAACAAGTGTCTGCAGCCTGCATTACTCCACACTACCACTCACATTGTACCACAACCAGTGTCTGCACCCTACATTAAGTCACACTGCCACTCACATTGTACCACCACCAGTGTCTACACCCTATATTTGGTCACACTGCCACTCACAATGTACCACAACCAGTGTCTGTAGCCTACATTAGGTCACCCTGCCATTAACATTCTACCACAACCAGTGTCTGCACCCTACATTAAGTCACAATGCAACTCACATTGTACCACAACCAGTGTCTGCACGCTACATTAAGTCACACTGCAACTCACATTGTACCACCACCAGTGTCTTCACGCTACATTAAGTCACACTGCCACTCACATTGTACCACCACCAGTGTCTACACCCTATATTTGGTCACACTGCCACTCACAATGTACCACAACCAGTGTCTGTAGCCTACATTAGGTCACCCTGCCACTAACATTCTACCACAACCAGTGTCTGCACCCTACATTAAGTCACACTGCAACTCACATTGTACCATATTCCAGTGTCTGCAAGCTACATTAATTCAAACTGCCACTCACATTGTACCACCACCAGTGTCTGCACCCTACATTAAGTCACACTGCCACTCACATTATACCACAACCAGTGTCTGCACGCTACATTAAGTCACACTGCCACTCACATTGTACCACCACCAGTGTCTGCACCCTACATTAAGTCACACTGCCACTCACATTGTACCACAACCAGTGTCTGCACCCTACATTAATTCAAACTGCAACTCACATTGTACCACAACCAGTGTCTGCACGCTACATTAAGTCACACTGCCACTCACATTGTACCAACACCAGTGTCTGCACCCTATATTTGGTCACACTGCCACTCACAATGTACCACAACCAGTGTCTGTAGCCTACATTAAATCACACTGCCACTAACATTCTACCACAACCAGTGTCTGCACCCAACATTAAGTCACACTGCCACTCACATTGTACCACAACCAGTGTCTGCACCCTATATTTGGTCACACTGCCACTCACAATGTACCACCCCCAGCGTCTGCGGTCTACATAAATCACACTGCCTCTCACATTGTACCACCATCAGTGTCTGCACCCTACATTAAGTCACACTGCTACTCACATTGTACCACAACCAGTGTCTGTAGCCTACATTAGGTCACCCTGCCACTAACATTCTACCACAACCAGTGTCTGCACCCTACGTTAAGTCACACTGCAACTCACAATGTACCACAACCAGTGTCTGCACGCTACTAGTGTCACACTGCCACTCACATTGTACCACCACCAGTGTCTATTCCCTATATTTGCTCACACTGCTACTCACATTGTACCACAACCAGTGTCTGCAGCCTACATTAGGTCACACTGCCCCTTACATTGTACCACCACCAGTGTCTGCATCCTACATTTGGTCACACTGCCACTCACATTGTACCACCCCCAGCGTCTGCGGCCTACATAAATCGCACTGCCACTCACATTGTACCACCACCAGTGTCTGCGTCCCTCATTTGGTCACACTGCCACTCACATTGTACCACCCCCAGCGTCTGCGGCCTGCATAAATCACACTGCCTCTCACATTGTACCACCACCAGTGTCTGCATCCTACATTTGGTCACACTGCCACTCACAATGTACCACCCCCAGCGTCTGCGGCCTACATAAATCACACTGCCCCTTACATTTTTCCACCACCAGTGTCTGCATCCTACATTTGGTCACACTGCCACTCACATTGGACCGCCCCCAGCGTCTGCGGCCTGCATAAGTCACAATGCAACTCACATTGTACCACCACCAGTGTCTGCAGGCTACATTAAGTCATACTGCTACTCACATTGTACCACCACCAGTGTCTGCAGGCTACATTAAGTCATACTGCTACTCACATTGTACCACCACCAGTGTCTGCAGGCTACATTAAGTCACACTGCCACTCCCATTGTACCACAACCAGTGTCTGCGACCTGCATAAGTCACACTGCCACTCCCATTGTACCACCACCAGTGTCTGCTGGCTACATTAAGTCATACTGCTACTCCCATCGTACCACCACCAGTGTCCGCAGGCTACATTAAGTCATACTGCTACTCACATTGTACCACCACATTGACAGTTGCTGAGTCAGCCCCCACTGTGTTCGTGGCAGTGCAGGTGTACTGTCCAGCTTGATTCTTGTTGATGTTGACTATGTCGAGTACAGCCCCTGTGCTAACAGTTAACCATCTGTTCGTCCACCTGTATGTAGGTGTTGTAGCTGACCGTGTGTAGGAACTACAGTCTAGCCGCAATCTACTTGACTTGTTCACTCGGTATGTGGAAGGTAGACCAGATATCGTAGGAGCAGCTATGACAATAAAATATGTGAGCATATTCAACTATTGATACTATGAATCAAACGTACTTTTTGAATAGTATACACGTGTCATCATAATAGTATACATATCAACAAAACCTTTAACCTAATCACTATAACCTTCTTTCGGACAGTCAACAGCAAGCAATACTAGTTTACGTGAAATGTTTATAGAGTTATCAAAGCTTTTGTCAAATGTTTATACTTTAGCATGGAAACATAATGACTTTCTTATTTCATCAACCGTCTTGTAAGGACACTCTGGTTCCATGCAGTGAATCATATATTTATACTACCCATACATATTTGGAGTGAATGAGTGTAGTTTTGCACTGCTTTTAGCAATATTCCAAAATTATCACAGCAGGGATTCCTGAAATTGGCTTCACACATTGCACCCACCTGAGGAATCGAACCGAGGGCCTCGGCGTGACGATCGAACTCCTCAACAACTTCGCTACCCCACGGCCCCACATATATCGACATACTGATATAGACGTAACACGAAGTGACATAGTTACATAGACGTAACACGAAGTGACATAGTGACATAGACGTAACACGAAGCGACATAGTTACATAGACGTAACACGAAGTGACATAGTGACATAGATGTAACACGAAGTGACATAGTGACATAGACGCAACACGAAGTGACATAGTGACATAGACGTGAGACGAAGTGACATAGTGACATAGATGTAACACGACGTGACATAGTGACATACACGTAACACGAAGTGACATAGTGACATAGACGTAACACGAAGTGACATAGTGACATAGACATAACACGAAGTGACATAGTGATATAGACGTAACACGAAGTGACATAGTGATATAGACGTAACACAAAGTGACGTAGTGACATAGACGTAGCACAAAGTGACGTAGTGACATAGACGTAACATCAAGTGACATAGTGACATAGACGTAACACAAAGTGACATAGTGATATAGACTTAACACAAAGTGACGTAGTGACATAGACGTAACATGAAGTGACATAGTGACATAGTCGTAACACGAAGTTACATAGTGACATAGACGTAACGCGAAGTGACATAGTGATATAGACGTAACACGAAGTTACATGATGACAAAGACGTAACATGAAGTGACATAGTGATATAGACGTAACGCAAAGTGACATAGTGCCATAAACGTAACACGAAGTGACATAGTGATATAGACATAACACGAAGTGACATAGTGCCATCAACGTAACACGAAGTAACATAGTGACGTAGATGTAACACGAAGTGACGTAGTGATATAGACGTAACACGAAGTGATATAGTGCCATAAACGTAACACGAAGTGACATAGTGTTTTAGACTTAAGACGAAGTGACATAGTGCCATCAACGTAACACGAACTAACATAGTGACGTAGATGTAACACGAAGTGACATAGTGATATAGACGTAACACGAAGTGACATAGTGATATAGACATAACACGAAGTGACATAGTGCCATCAACGTAACACGAAGTAACATAGTGACGTAGATGTAACACGAAGTGACATAGTGATATAGACGTAACGCAAAGTGACATAGTGCCATAAACGTAACACGAAGTGACATAGTGTTTTAGACTTAAGACGAAGTGACATAGTGCCATCAACGTAACACGAAGTAACATAGTGACGTAGATGTAACACGAAGTGACATAGTGATATAGACGTAACACGAAGTGATATAGTGATATAGACGTAACACGAAGTGACATAGTGATATAGACGTAACACGAAGTGACATAGTGACATAGACGTAACACGAAGTGACATAGTGACATACACGTACCACGAAGTGACATAGTGATATAGACGTTACACGAAGTGACATAGTGATATAGACGTAACACGAAGCGACATAGTGATATAGACGTAACACGAAGTGACATAGTGATATAAACGTAACACGAAGTGACGTAGTGATATAGACGTAACACGAAGTGACATAGTGACATAGATGTAATGCGAAGTGATATAATCACATAGACGTAACACGAAGTGTCGTAATGACATAGATGTAATACAAAGTGACATAGTGACATGGACGTAACACGAAGTGACATAGTGACATAGACGTAACATAAAGTGACATAGTGACATAGACGTAACATAAAGTGACATAGTGACATAGACGTAACACGAAGTGACATAGTGATATAGACTTAACACAAAGTGACGTAGTGACATAGACATAACATGAAGTGACATAGTGACATAGTCGTAACACGAAGTTACATAGTGACATAGACGTAACGCGAAGTGACATAGTGACATAGACGTAACACGAAGTTACATAGTGACAAAGACGTAACATGAAGTGACATAGTGATATAGACGTAACACAAAGTCACATAATGACATAGACGTGACACAAAGAGACATAGTGTTTTAGACGTAACAGGAAGTGACATAGTGATATAGACGTAGCACGAAGTGACATAGTGATATAGACGTAACACGAAGTGACATAGTGCCATAGACGTAACACAAAGTGACATAGTGATATAGACGTAACACGAAGTGACATAGTGATATAGACGTAACGCAAATTGACATAGTGCCATAAACGTAACACGAAGTGACATAGTGATATAGACATAACACCAAGTGACATAGTGCCATAGACGTAACACGTAATGACATAATGTCATAGGCGTAACACGAAGTGATATAGTGACATAGATGTAATGCGAAGTGCTATAATCACATAGACGTAACACGAAGAGTCGTAATGACATAGATTTAACACGAAGTGACACAGTGGCATGGACGTAACACGAAGTGACATAGTGACATAGACGTAACATGAAATGACGTGGTGACATAGACGTAACACGAAGTGACATAGTGATATAGATGTAACACGAAGTGACATAGTGTCATAGAGTTAACACGAAGTGACATAGTGTCATAGACGTAACATGAAATGACGTAGTGACACGGACGTAACACGAAGTGGCATAGTGACATAGACGTAACACGAAGTGACGTAGTGACATAGACGTAACACGAAGCGACATAGTGTCATAGGCGTAACACGATGTGACGTAGTGACATAAACGTAACACGAAGTGACATAGTGTTTTAGACTTAAGACGAAGTGACATAGTGCCATCAACGTAACACGAAGTAACATAGTGACGTAGATGTAACACGAAGTGACATAGTGATATAGACGTAACACGAAGTGACATAGTGATATAGACATAACACGAAGTGACATAGTGCCATCAACGTAACACGAAGTAACATAGTGACGTAGATGTAACACGAAGTGACATAGTGATATAGACGTAACGCAAAGTGACATAGTGCCATAAACGTAACACGAAGTGACATAGTGTTTTAGACTTAAGACGAAGTGACATAGTGCCATCAACGTAACACGAAGTAACATAGTGACGTAGATGTAACACGAAGTGACATAGTGATATAGACGTAACACGAAGTGATATAGTGATATAGACGTAACACGAAGTGACATAGTGATATAGACGTAACACGAAGTGACATAGTGACATAGACGTAACACGAAGTGACATAGTGACATACACGTACCACGAAGTGACATAGTGATATAGACGTTACACGAAGTGACATAGTGATATAGACGTAACACGAAGCGACATAGTGATATAGACGTAACACGAAGTGACATAGTGATATAAACGTAACACGAAGTGACGTAGTGATATAGACGTAACACGAAGTGACATAGTGACATAGATGTAATGCGAAGAGATATAATCACATAGACGTAACACGAAGTGTCGTAATGACATAGATGTAACACAAAGTGACATAGTGACATGGACGTAACACGAAGTGACGTACTGTCATAGACTTAACACGAAGTGACATAGTGACATAGACGTAACATGAAATGACGTAGTGACATAGACGTAAAACGAAGTGACATAGTGACATAGATGTAACAGGAAGCGACATAGTTATATAGACGTAACACGAAGTGACATAGTGACATAGATGTAACACGACGTGACATAGTGACATACACGTAACACGAAGTGACATAGTGACATAGACGTAACACAAAGTGACATAGTGACATAGACGTAACATAAAGTGACATAGTGACATAGACGTAACATAAAGTGACATAGTGACATAGACGTAACACGAAGTGACATAGTGATATAGACTTAACACAAAGTGACGTAGTGACATAGACATAACATGAAGTGACATAGTGACATAGTCGTAACACGAAGTTACATAGTGACATAGACGTAACGCGAAGTGACATAGTGACAAAGACGTAACATGAAGTGACATAGTGATATAGACGTAACACAAAGTCACATAATGACATAGACGTGACACAAAGAGACATAGTGTTTTAGACGTAACAGGAAGTGACATAGTGATATAGACGTAGCACGAAGTGACATAGTGATATAGACGTAACACGAAGTGACATAGTGCCATAGACGTAACACAAAGTGACATAGTGATATAGACGTAACACGAAGTGACATAGTGATATAGACGTAACGCAAAGTGACATAGTGCCATAAACGTAACACGAAGTGACATAGTGATATAGACATAACACCAAGTGACATAGTGCCATAGACGTAACACGTAGTGACATAATGTCATAGGCGTAACACGAAGTGATATAGTGACATAGATGTAATGCGAAGTGCTATAATCACATAGACGTAACACGAAGAGTCGTAATGACATAGATTTAACACGAAGTGACACAGTGGCATGGACGTAACACGAAGTGACATAGTGACATAGACGTAACATGAAATGACGTGGTGACATAGACGTAACACGAAGTGACATAGTGACATAGATGTAACACGAAGTGACATAGTGTCATAGAGTTAACACGAAGTGACATAGTGTCATAGACGTAACATGAAATGACGTAGTGACACGGACGTAACACGAAGTGGCATAGTGACATAGACGTAACACGAAGTGACGTAGTGACATAG